GCTCTGGCTATTATTGCGAGGTTATACCTGCTGGCGACACTGATGTGAGTATGCGTGGTTTTCATCTGACCCCGTGGCTCACCGACGTGGTAGGCGTACGTATGTACACTGGGTGACGGATCACTGGGCTACTAGAACAGTGAGTCATATTTCCGTTTTCGCCCTGGTGCACACTGCAGCGTGGTTGACGATACGACATGTAAGTAGTTCGTTTCTGAGTGCTCGGCTGTCATGGTGAACAAATTTCACCCTGCTGGAGCATTGAAGACCTTAAATTAGAGGAACATCTCAAACACTTGACTGCATAAAATATGACTGAAGTACTTACAACGTGTTGTTTTTCGTCTCGTTGCAAGCTTGCAAAATATAATTTATGAAGCCTCGCATGATGGGATGGACAGTCGGACATAATACATGTCAGCCGAAGGGAGTCTGAATAATGCACAGTACTTGCGCGGTCACCATGATGCCATATGTGTAACAGTGGATGAATCAATGACTTACCGCAGCGTTTAGAACTACGTTCGAAATCTAAATCGTAACGGTGCCAGCGCCAGCGCCTGACTTGCTTATTTCTGGCATGTTTTGTTTCCATCGAATTAAATGCAAACTAGTCTTGGGCAAGATTATTGCAAGTGGCCCACCACGAACTTCCGACCTCTTGCAAGCAAAAATGCGAGCACTAAGTGTCACTGTCAGAATAGAGGCCGACAGATGGCCTGTGAGCTGTCACGGTAACATTCATTAGTGTAATGGAACAATTGAGGGTCGTGGATTGTCTTGTTGTCACAATGCCTCGCAAGATCATCAGCAGAGGTGTCGGAGATCCGGCCGAAGACAGAGGGATGAGTCTATGAGAATACCTCTCAGACTCAAAGTGAGCATGACCGAAAGTCATATATATGCCATCAACTCCTATGCACAAAGAGATGCCATCAAAGACGAGACCCTTGACAGTGAGAACTCAAAGAAGTCTGAAACCACGAGGAGAAATTGTGGGGCACAAGCCCAGACCGGAGTATGATATTGGAGGATACAAGGGATCATAATAGAGGAGATATGAAAGAACTTCATGTGCAATATGATTGTGCCAGGACAGACAATTCCCGCTACAGCAGTATACTACTTAGCGGGTTTTGTGGTGTCATGGCCGTTTGTCCAAAACACACGCCTGTTTGATTCGCACGGCCCTGAAGGGACACTTGAAAATCCATGCTGTTCTTAATAATTGTGTCTGCCTACACCGATCTTCGTTAGTCTTCGACTACATATGTCTTCTATTGATTGTTACAAAGTCCTCGTATCTTCCGCTGATATCCCTGCTCTTATTCGTATCTCCTGATTCCACCGTGTCGTCGTCTTTTCTGCACAATTGCAGTGTGCCACAATCTGTCACCAATCATAACGGGGGTACTTGTCGAATCTGGCCTGGCGCGCGTCCCTACAGTCGATGGTTGGTGCAATTCCCGACAGGCCTTTCGACCCGTGGTGTGATGTCGAGTTTTGTCGTGATTGGCTCGTGCTTAAATGTTGGTTGCGTCCTGCCTTTGAGTCTTTACCTCCATGTAAGTTTTTCCCCTCCCTTGCGAACACCCCCTTATATTTTGTTCATCAGGACAATTTTGGTCCAGGCGCCTTCGCGCATCCCCCATGTGATGGATGAGGACATTTGTCTACCTTCCACTGTTAACGTTATATGTGATTACCCTGAATATTATGGTGCTCTTTATTATCCCCAGTATCATCCCGCGATATCTGCTACTCCTCAGACATTCTGTGCTTGGCTTCTGAAGTGTCTCGTGTCCCATCATCGCCGCTCTTGCTTAGTATGTAGACTCCCGCTCATCGCACTATTCCACCATCCGTCGACTCTCCCTTGGTTCGTGCCGAGGTGTTTCTTTTTCGCACTCGTTCGAACAGTATCCCCCTTGGCTCTATTCAAGTGAAGAGACAATCAGATCTCATCTGGATACTGTTTTGGCCTATCCTTCATCTCAGTCTGTCCCATGTATTCCAGTTCTTTCTGTCGCCCGCCGCACCAAATCCAACTTTGTCGCTGCGATTCGCGTCCACTTCCTTGAGCTACGTGCATCGCTTCTGGCGAAGTCTGTTCCCGATGTCTTGCGTGAACTCGCGTCAGTGCAACTTCCGGTTGAATGTGATTGGTAAAAATACTGATGGCTGGTTGACATGATGGAGTCAAAGTTGGCAAGCCTGGTGGACGGATTGAAAATTTACACACAGATAAATGATTGACAAAACGTGATCAACAACAGCAAGGTTGAAATAGGAAGCAGACGGTGGAGTCGGGAACTGGCGCATCTGAGGCGCTAAATACCAACATTCGGGGGCTGGCAGAGGGACAGATTTTGGGTTTGGAACAGGGTGATGTCACAGAATCGGCCGCTTGCGATGCCAGAGGTAGGTAGAGTACACTATATTGCTGCGTAAGTACGGGGCCTGACTTGGATCTGATAGCATGTTGCGACGGTGGAGATGGCAAGCAAGATTCACACGAGACGCACGGCACGGTGGTGCTCAACAGCTTCATCTTTTGCAGGCAGTGCAAGGTGAGCTGATAGTTGTACGGACACGGACGACACAGTGATGATAGGTGGAATGACCAAGGCGGCAGTAAGCGAGCGTCTCATAACTGCCACCAGCACTTGCCCAGTTACTTATAAGGTTGACTCGGAGCCTGGGCTGATTTTGCTCATTCGAGTGCCTATGTCTGATCCTTCGACGTTGCCAACCGCAGAGACAATAAACTGAGGAGTCACTTTAAGGATCAGTGAAAAAGGAACACGGTAATTCCCTGGCAGCACTTGGTTCAGGATTTCGCCGATCACTGACGTGGTTGGGGTCCAGCACTGCATAGTGTGCGTTCCGAAAATAACAGCATCACTCTCCTTTGCAATTAGATCTCCTAAGCCAGCTACTGATCTCCCGGCATCCAGTTTCGCGTTCCCTAGTGATGAGACTCTGAATTTCTCTCATATCCATGTGACGCCTGAGTCCAGCTCAAGGGATCTTGTCACCTATTGTAGGCCGTATGCAACAACGGGTTGGAATCACACATTTCCAAGTGTTCTTCTCCCAAGAAAATTTCGGGGAAAGAAAAAGTTAAACCTATCTGCTGGCAATGCGCTGGCAATGCAAACGTCATCTGTCTGAAGGAGTATTTCAGGTGGACAGCTTATGCAACAAAACATTATTCAGGACATAAAAGCAAGCTGTCTTCGTACCGTACCCTTCAGATTTATTTTTGGAGTCCCATACCACATCTCACAAATAATGCGTCTCTCCTTCGTCCTCGCGGTTGTTGCCACTTTCAAGTTGGCAGCATCTATCGCAATCCGTGATGACAGTGGTTGTCCCCTGTACTGCGCCTCGAATGCGTGCTGCTCCGGCGATTATTGCGAGGGTGTAACTGTTGGCCACGGTTATGTGAGTATGCGTAGTTTTCATCTGACCCCGTGACTCACCGACGTGGTAGACGTGGATATGTGTAGGGGGTGACGGGCCAGGCTAATAGAACAGTAAGTCGTATTTCCGTTTTCGCCCTGGTGCACACTGCAGCGTGGTTGACGACACGACATGTAAGCAGGTCGTTTCTGAGTGCTCGGCTGTCAGGGTGAACGAATTTCACCCTACTGGAGCATTGAAGACCTTAAATTAGAGGAACATCTCAAACACTTGACTGCATAAAATATGACTGAAGTACTTACAACGCGTTGTTTTTCGTCTCGTTGCGAGCTTGCAGAATATAATTTATAAAGGCCTCACATGATGGGATGGACAGTCGGACATAACACACATGTCAGCCGAAGGGAGTCTGAATAATGCACGGTACTTGCGCGGTCACCATGATGCCATAGTGTGTAACAGTGGATGAATCGATGACTTACCGCAGCGTTTAGAACGAGGTTCGGAATCTAAATCACAACGGCGCCAACGCCAGCGCCTGACTTGCTTATTTCTGGCATGTTTTGTGTCCATTGAATTAAACATGCGTCGCAAACTAGTCTTGGGCGAGATTATTGCAAGTGGCCCACCACGAACTTCCGACCTCTTGCAAGCAAAAATGCGATCACTAAGTGTCACTGTCAGAATAGAGGCCGACAGATGGCCTGTGAGCTGTCACGGTAACATTCATTATTGTAATGGAACAATTGAGGGTCGTGGATTGTCTTGTTGTCACAATGCCTCGCAAGATCATCAGCAGAGGTGTCGGAGATCCGGCCGAAGACAGAGGGATGAGTCTATGAGAATACCTCTCAGACTCAAATTGAGCACGACCGAAAGTCATGTATATGCCATCAAAGACGACACCCTTGACAGCCAGAACTCAAAGAAGTCTGAAACCACGAGGAGAAATTGTGGGGCAAAGCCTAGGCCGGAGCATGATATTGGGCGATACAAGGGATCATAATAGAGGAGATGTGAATGAACTTCATGCGCAATATGATTGTGCTAGGATAGATAATTCCCGCTACAGCAGTACTTAGCGGGTTTTGTGGTGCCATGGCCGTTTATCGCCAAAACACGCCTAACAGTTCAAACGTTCATGGTGTTTGATTCGCACGGTCCCGAAGGGCTGTTTCTAATAATATTTTGTGTCTGCCTTACACCGATCTTCGTTCGACGTTAGTCTTCGACTACATATGTTTTCTATTAATTGTTACAAAGTCTTCGCATCTGCCGCTGACATCCCTGCTCTTATTCGTATCTCCTGATTCCACCGTGTCGTTGTCTTTTCTGCACCATTGTATCTGTCACCAATCACAACGGGGTGGTTGTCGAATCTACTTTTGGCCTGGCACGCGTTCCCAACGTCAATGGTTGGTACAATTCCCGACAGACCTTTCGACCCGTCTATCTGAGTGGGTGTGATGTCGTGATTGGCTCGCGCTCAAATTTTGGTTGTGTCCGGTCTTTGAGTATTCACCTCTATGTAAGTTTTCTCTCTCCCTTGCGAACACCCTCTTATCTTTTGTTCATCAGGATATTTTTGGTCAAGGCGCCTTTACGCCTCCCCCACGCGATGAATGAGGATATTTTTCCACTGTTCACGTTATGTGTGATCACCGTGAATATTATGATGCTCTTTATTATCCCCAGTATCATGCCGCGATATTTGTTACTCCTCAGACATTCTGTGCTTGGCTCCTGAAGTCTCTCGTGTCCTATCATCGCTCCTCAGTGTGTAGACTGCCGCTCACGGTTTGTATTTTGTTTGACGGTGCCGCCATTGTAGTGACCCTCCATGATGTGTCTGTTTCACTGTCGCTTGCTGATGTTGAGAGCGCTGGTTATCGCACTGTTCCATCATCCGTCGACTCTCCCTTGGTTCGTGCCAAGGTATTTCTTTTTCGCGCTCGTTCGAATCAATATCCGCCTCGGCTCTATTCAAGTGAAGGGACAATCAGATCTCATCTGGATACTGTTTTGGCCTATCCTTTATCTCGATCTGTCTCAGGTATTCCAGGTCTTTCTGTCGCCGTACCAAATCCAACTTTGTCGCCGCGATTTGGGTCCACTTTCTCGAGCTACGTGCATCGCTCTTGGCGAAGTCTGTTCCCGATGTCTTGTGAGAACTCGCGTTAGTGCAACTTCCGGTTGAATGTGATTGGTAAAGATACTGATGGCTGGTTGACATGATGGAGGAGTCAAGGTTGGCAAGCCTGGTGGACGGATTGAAAATTTACACACAGATAAATGATTGACAAAACGTGATCAACAACAGCAAGGTTGAAATAGGAAGCGGGCGGTGGAGTCGGGAAATGACGCGTCCGAGGCGCTAAATACCAACATTCAGGAGCTGGCAGAGGGACAGATTTTGGGTTTGGAACAGGGCGATGTCACAGAATCGGCCGCTTGTGATGACAGAGGTAAGGTAGGGTACATTGTATTGCTGCGTAAGTACGGGGCCTGACTTGGATCTGACAGCATGCTGCTGACGGTGGAGATGGCATGCAAGATTTGCACGAGACGCACGGTGGTGCTCAACAGCTTAATCTTTTGTGGATATACGGCAATCAGGGTGAGCTGATAAGTATACGACACGGTGATGATAGGTGCAATGAGCAAGGCGGCAGTAAGGGAGCGTCTCATAGCTTGCTCATTCGAGCGTCTATATCTGATCGATGTCGATATGGTTGACCGATGACGTGGAATTTCACTAGCGGCAGCCAAGATTGGAACTGATTTGAAATCCACGGCAGACTTGTCACTTGGGGCATACAACGTCCTGTGGCGATCAACCAGCAATCGCGGAACAACGATCATACTCGTAGTGTGCAAGTCTTCAGAGGCGCAGTCGCACAGAAGTACAAGTTGAATTCTGCGTACAGCGAGATACAAGATCGGCACATAGTCAGGAGAAGGGCTCTTGCAGGTAAAATTCGTGCGAGTTTGTGATTGAAGAGGGAAATGTCGAATCTATTTATGTCGAAACCCAGAATGCAAGGCTGGCTTGCTTCGCAAGTATACGGTATTTGCCTGGCCAGGTAGACAAAGGAGCCAGAGGGATGCAAAACATTATCTTGTGACACCGGTGGTCTAACATCCATGGCTGAATGTTTGCACGTAAAACGCTGGAGCTAAGGGGGTAAAATATGTTCCCTTGATTTGCCTCTGCTAGTCGTTATTCATATACAGTAGAGCAATCCTCAATACTGGTGAGTCTGAGATGTTGAAAGAGATATCCGCACATATTGGTGGCACTGGTGCGATGCAGCACAAATCATCAAAAGAGTACCAAGACTCTAGGAAGAGCTGCCTAGCCATGAAGGGCCTGAATGTGAAGGAAAACAGTCATGTGCTGACCTTTGATGACTATCACCCGTGGTAACTTTAACACACGTGACCGAACACGGTCGCGACTGTGCCTGCCCTGAATTCGTCTTGGTTCGATTCGATTGTTGAAGCTGCTTAAGACGTACATCGTGCTTTCCAAATACTGATGAGCTTGTACTGACTATTTGACAGTGACAACGACGACGACAATCTAGAACTGACAATTCACAGAACAGACGCGGGCGATGTCGAGCCTCGACCCGCGCTCGCCAGGTTATTATGGCACAACGACGTATTCGTCTATCTCGAATGACTCTGATTCGGGTCAGTGGCATGTTACCTGTCCTTATCAATATTGAATTCACCAAATTTTTACACATAGACACCCCCCGTGCATCTACAGATTCATCCGCCTCTCCAGGCCTCCTCCGACGCGTTGCATTCAGTCCCCCTCCCCGATCTGAAACCAGCTTCGAAGCTCACGCTCACGACGATAGTTTCGGAGAACATGCTGAAGTCGAAGCAGCTCTCACCGATTTTGACCTTGACGCTGAGATTAATGCTACCCAGGACACCGTCTCCCAATGGTCCTCTTCCCGCCCGTCCTACACGTCCTTGAGTACGTCTACTCCGTACAGTGGTACAGGATCCTATACTGGTACTTCTGCTTCATATTCGGCGGACACCGCAACGGCAACAGGAACTCATTTCACACGCGACCCTCGAGTCCTGAGCACCATCTCAGAACGCACCGAGCACCCCAGCCGACCAACTTCCTTTGCCCAGAACCGTCTTTCTGCACACCGCCTAAGCACAATATCCAACCCGCATGCCCGATCAGCTGTTGAATCCCCTGTAAATGCCAACAGACTTAGCACGCACTCCCAGGGACACACACGCGGTGCCACAGATCTTCCCACAACTAGCCGTCGCACGGGCGACCTTATTGCATTTTTCGAGGACCGCGCAGGTACCCCCAGTAAAGAAAAGGAGAGAAACACCAGCCCATTTTTACCTACAACCCAGAGTACGCCTCATTTAGGGAGTACCACGGGGTATACCTCAACTGGATACGGTTATACCACGGGATTCACTTCGACTGGGTACGGATATACCACAGGGACGGGGACAGGTGGCTATACCACCACGGGCTACACCACATCCCGCCCCTCCTCTGTCACTAAAAGCAGGTCCGACGATTCGCGTTCCACAGTCTCGACTTCTTCAGGTGGAGGTGGGACTGACCTGAGCTTGTCGAGTTTGTTAAGTCCACCAGTACGCGGATTAGGCACCCCAACCGGGACGTATGGTGGCAGTGGGACAGCGACAGCGACAGGGACGACACAGCTAAGCCCAAGCGATTTTGCGAGTACGTTTTCGAGTGCATTTGGGGTTGCTAGGGGTGCGTGTGCCAATGCTTCTTCTACCCTCACCTTTACACCTTTACTTCGTGCTGACACTCTTCTCGATACAGGCAGACAAGATGATACCACACCCACGCGCCAGACCCAGACCGCCCTCCGTCGCAGCACGGTTCCCCTGAACGAGGCCAACACGAGCCCCAGGAGCCCGTTAACGAGCGTACGGAACATCGTAGCTGCGTGGAAGGAACGCACACCAGGGCTAGGGAAAGTGAAGAGTGAGAGCAGTGAAGGCGGGAGCGAGCTGTCTCCACCTGGGGCATCAAAGGTATGTGTGATTTTGCAAGTTGGCGTATACGCGTGCTGAGGGGCTTAGATGGAGGGCTTGTTCTCTCTTCGTAGACGCGCATCGCGGCAGGGGGCGCGGGGACAGCCGCCAGTGACGCCTGATAAGAACGGTGGGAAGGGCCATGTAGGAGGCACCAACAGAAACAGGGAAAACGAAGGAATCACTAGCAGTGGAAACAATGTCATAAGGAGGAGAGTGAGCTCTACGAGCAGCCTCATACCCCCGCCTTTTGATATGACAGATCTAGGGGCAAGAGAGAACCGCGAGGTGTGCCTTATTCTAATTTTGGCTTCAAGTTCACATCTGACCCTCATACTCAGCCCATCCGCATCGGTACCCTCTGGTATCTCAATGTGCATTCCCCAACGCCTTACCGCTGGAAAAAATGCTCCGCACTACTCTACCCACACGTGCTTATCCTTTCTTGGAGTTCCTCGGGGGGCGGTCGGGGCGTAGTGAGCTTAGATCTGATCAATTGTACAGAAGTGAGGAGTACCCCTGGCTTTACACACCCTGGAGCGAGGGGCGATGTCGGGGGAGTGAGTGCAGCAGCGCAGGTACGTGCACTGACGAGTTGATAATCAGACGGAAAGCGCTGATATGGAACGTATCGGTAGATGACTGAGGATGGCGTGAGTCTTGTGGAAGTATTGTGTCCGTTCCAGCTGTTGTATAGTGATGGCGTTGAGCGACTTGCGGCGGAGAGTGCGAGGGAGAGGGTGAGGTGGGTGAGTGCAATTTGGTGAGTGATCCGTGTTACACTTAGATTTGGATAATTCTAATGAGTATCTATTTAACCTACGCGGCGATATGTACACAGGGAGGCACTTGACCGCTCCTTATCGCTCCCCAATCGCTCCCAATCCGGTTCGCCCACAGGCAGCATAGGCACCATCCACTCCGTGGCCTCTACCACATCCACGTCTGCCGGGAGCAGGAGTACTGTGTTCGTACCTCCACTGCATACGATCCCGAGTCTGTCGGATTTGGGGAGTGATTCTGGGGGGTTAAGTCTAAGTACCAGTAGGGTGCCCAGTGTGGGTGGCCATGGGCGCACTGCGGATGATTCGTCGTACCTTTATCCCTCTGACCCGCGCATCATCGCTCCATCCCGATCTTCATCCTTGCGCCGCACCTCATCTCTCACAGACCTGGACGAGGAGTTTGCTAGTGCTGTGTCGCGTGCTCGTTCTGCAAAGCCTGGTCTAGGCTTTGGTCTGAGCTTGGTCAATGAACGCATGAGTTCAGAGAGTGGTGGAATACTGGGTGTGGTTGAGGGAAGCCCTGTGACTGTGAGCAGTGGCCCCAGATTGGGGGGCGATGTTCGCGTTACCCCGCCTCCTACTGGAAAGATAAGGAACCGAGCTCTCAGTGTCAGTGAGGAGGAATTCTTCAGCGCCGGTTCACGCACGTCCAGCGTACCAGGCTCTCGTCCCGAATCGGACTTTTTCTCAGCAGACAGCTCCAGGACAAGCAGGAGTGGCGATGGCCGGACAACGACAGGCTTAGTGACAGACGGGACTGCGTTTGAGTTCACGAGTGGCGAGTCAAACACGCAGATCGTGCCTAGCACGCTGAGCTACAGACGCACGGAGAGTAATTCTTACTTGGGGGACTCGCATGACGGCAGTGGGAGCTATACGCCATATACATCTAGCGATGGGCGTTCGCGAACACCGTTCTCGTCGAGCGACAGCCGGTCAAGAACGCCGTACACCTACTCATCCAGCGGATACACGAGCAGCACGCCCTACACGTACACGAGTGGCAGTTACGCCCCCGCCTCTACTTCACCGTCCTTATCTCGTACCCCTGAGGTTCGGAGACGGCGGTACGGTGCATACTCTACGAGCGAGGAGCCATCTGATAGGGAGTATTCTGCAACGACGAGATCGACACTGAGCGGATGGACGAGGAGCAGGACACCCACAACGACAACGGAGGGATTTTTAGCTGTGGAGGAGAGGGAGAGCAGTGGAAGTGAGGGATACACCACAGCCCATGCGTCGCCCAGCCCGAGCACTGCGTCATTTAAGAGCCTTCCAACGATCCCAAGCGAGTCGGACTACCAGACGTTGGACACGTGCAAGACTTGCGTGAGCTCGGAGTTCGTAACTGCGGAGCGGTGCGCAAGTGATGTGGAGACAGACTATGTGACAGCGGAGAAGTGCAAGACCGAGACCGAAACGGATTTCTGGACAGCGGAAGTGTGCAAGAGTGACAAGGATGAGACACAGTATGAGACGGCGAGCGTGTGTCTTACGATCCCGAGCGAAGAGGGGTTGAGCACGCCGAGGTCAGGATTGATTCTGGAGCTTCCTGCTGAGGAACCCATGGACGAACCTATTGACGAGCCCACTGAAGCCCCCATTGGAGCCCCCATTAACGTGGCCATTGACGTGTCCGTCGACGAACCCATCGGCGTACTTATCGACATGCCCATCGACGAGCCCATTGGCGTACTCGTTGAAGCGTCCACCGACGAGCCCATTAACGTGCCCATTGAAGCGCCCACTAACGTACCCATTGACTTACCTATTGACGTGCCCATTGAAACGCCCATTGACGTGCCCATTGGCGTGCCCGTTGGCGTGCCCGTTGATGTGCCCATTGGCGTGCCCGTTGATGTGCCCATTTACGTGCCCATAGAAGCGGCCATTGACGAGCCTATCGACTTGCACGAGGAAGAGGAAGTGGATGAGGAAGTGGATCTACCCCCCCGCCAAAGACACCGAGCGAAGTCCCCAGTATCATCTCTGAGGAACCAGCGCTGGAGGTGTCGGTCACGCCTGAGGCTGTCACTGCACAGGAAGAGATCGCAGAGGACAGCCTGCTGGGGAGCGCCCCGCCTACCACCCAGGCGCCCGAGACACCGACTCCCATCGTCAGTTTCCACACCGACTCGTCATTCTCCTATACCGAGAGTGATCTTAGTCCTGCACAGCCAGAGCTTGACACGTCTGTCTCGAGTTTGACAGAGTCGAGCGACCCCTTCGTTATCGCGTCACCTCGGACCGTACAGACACCAGTTCTCTCGATATCTGACCATGACGAAGAGGCAGTCACGCCATCTATGCACCCATCTCAATGGCCTTCTGAGACGGATGTGTCGTTTGATTCGTCTGCACTGCAGCCTACGCCTAGTATACAGAGCGCCGCATTGCAGGAGGGTATCGATGGGAGCTTTGAGACATCGTTTATGCGCCCGAGTATATCGCCGCTGAGCAGCATTGCGAGGCTGACGCCTATCACGGAGACCATTTCTTCCCTTACACCGTCTCCTAGGCAGATGTTCCACCCAGTTGAGTTGGTGTCTTCGCCATCCAGTGGACCGACTCCGCTGACGATGTCGACGAGCGCATCGAGTTCGCTTTCAAGGACCGCGTCCACCGTGAGTGGTGTGTCAAGTATTGCGATTGAGGCGGAGGAGGAAGATGCGGTGAGCGTAAGAGCTGCCAGTGATATTTCGACGGTGCCGTCTTTGCTGTCGACGAGAAGCGAGGAGTCGGTGCGATATGTGGGTAGTTCTTTATTGTGTTGTGGTTGGAATGCTGATGTGATGTGTTGATTTTTTTGCTGTAGATGCCAATGCCCTCCCCGCGGGCTGTGCCTCTCCCAGTATCCCCTGCCCCTACTTCGGTGTCGATGAGTGTGAGTGTGACGACACCGCACGAAGATGTTCCTTCCATCCATTCTGTCCTCGAGACGGAGCACACGCACACGCACACTGAGCAAACTATCACGCACGATATTGACCGTCTTCTTCACCATATCCAAGAGATTGATCAGTTCCGTGGCCAGGAAACGCAGGAAATCGCAGAGAATGTGCGTGCTATTCGAGACGAACTGTATGATTTGTCGGAGTACGTCCGTACGAGGCTCGTCGTGGAGAGATCGCCACCTGTGCCAACTAGAGACACATCTGTCGGGGGCAGCAGTGTGCCCTCGACGCCAAGAGGACCGCGCCCGAGGCCGGGTCTCACCCTTGTCGAGATGTCCCCACCCCCTATGCACCCCTCCTCCCCGAGTTCGCCCAGTTCGGTCATGTCGTTCTTGTCTTCACATCACTCGGATGATGACTTAAGTCTGTTGGAGACAGAGGTGGAAGCGCAGACCGTGGAACGCTCATATTCGATCTCCAGAGAGCCATCTTGGCCCTCCTCATCGTCCTCATCTTCATCCCCGGTCACACCATCAGAAATTTCTTCCAGCGAGCCATCCCCTGGTCCAAGCTTGTCGGCCACGTCTTCGTCATCACCGACTCCTCCACCCTCGTCACCTACGCCTTCGACGGCGTCGACCACCACTGTGCGGCAGCGTGATAGCATTACGATTGAGACGCTGAGAGACATGTTGATCTCATTGAGAGAGCAGACGACTGCGCTTTGGGAGGGCCAGATGTCAACAAACCATATGCTGGACGAGTTGCGCGAGACACGCTCAGGTCCTCTGGACACCACGGAGTTCAATGACCGGTTTCAGGCCATCGAGGTTCTTTTGCGTCAACTCATCGATAGACGAGTCGAGACTGAACGACCTGTCCATATCCAGCCGCCATCAGAGTCTATTTCTGATGTCGGCACAGATGTAGACGCAGAGGATTTTCAGCAGCGCTGGCAGGATTGGACGCGGCTCCTGAGGGACCGCGTCCCCCTTGCTGCACCCCAGCCACGCAGAGCTCGTGGAAATCTTGACGATGAGCTGCTTGCATTATTACAGGCACCCCCACCCCAAGTGCCTATAGGCGTCCAGCCGCCTCCAGCATTGATCCCCTTCGCTTACCAACCTGCGGTACGTCCTCCGAGGTCGAGGAGTACCAGTCCCATATTACGGCCCTCGACGTACCCGATTGCCACAGAGCCAGTGCTGTTCTCACCCGAGATTCAACACCCACGTATCCGCCGTCCTCCTCGAGGTCCACGTGTCGGTGAAAGACTGCCCGACCGACCCGCAACTGAAACTGAGACAGTATTTTCTGGTCCGCGTAGGCCGCCTACTCAGCCACCGGTGCCACCACCACCACCCGGAGATTTTTCCGATCCCAGACCTCTACGCCCGATGCCTCCTCCTGAGCCAGTGAGTACTACTGTTGAGTGAATCTAATCAAATACCAACCTTTCGCTTAGATCCCCTGGCCGGGAAGAGCTCCAAGCGCGCCTGCTGACCTTGGGGGCCATGACGACACTCGCGAGCCTCAAACCTGGTACCGTCCCCCAAGATCACAGGGCTTAGTACGTCCTTCAACGGATTTGATTTCAAGATGTAACTTTGATCATTCTGCAGGGCATGCCTCCTCAGCCTGTTATTCCTGGTCAACAAGGTGGTCGCCAATACGTGCCAATGCCTCCGGGACCGGTAAGTAAATCTTAAGGTATAATCTCCGAGGTTCTGATTGCTCTCCCCTAGACCGTAGTGCAATTACCACTCTTTGACACATTGATGAACATCCTTCGGGCAAGTTACGCTATTGATATCCTGTCGAGACGCTAATTATTTTTTTTGCGTTAGGAACATCGTCTTGCCCAACTTGCGACGGTAGATCAACAACGAGAGTTGATGAGGTACATGAGAGGTCTGAATGAATGGCTTGAAAGGGACGTGCAGGACCGTCAAGCAGAATTACGGGGGGTGACCGCTCGTGTTGATGAGCTCAGAAATGATCTTGCACGACTAGGATTAGGGATGCAGCCCGGAGTGCAGCCCGGCGTGCAGCCACCAGGTGCGCAACTGCCAGGTGTGTTCCCAGGTTATGGAGTGATCCCTGTTGGACCTATCCCCCATCCACCTACTGGATTTGTTCCTCAGGGAGGCCCACGGCCTCCCGTCATTCCCACCTATGATGGTTCTCCTCCGCCAGACCAATATAGTCCTTTCATACCCGATGAACCCCAATGGCGTAGGCCGCTGGGCATGCCAGAACCTCAGCATTACCTTCCAGGTGCGCAAGGACCAGTAATCCCCGGTGCTTCTGGTGGTTTTCCCCAACCACAACATGGCGATCGGCACGAGCGCCGCCCTGGCGATGAAGATGAAGGATTTATTCCCACGAGCTCTCCTCAGTTTAGCGATGCTGGGCTCCCCACCAGACCATTCGTGCCAGAACATACATTCATAGTTCAACCGAGTGATGTTGAAGGGAGTGATGATAGTTCGGATACCCAACACACCTATGCGCCCGACGTACACCACGTACCACACCCTCCGGAGGATCAAATGTTACACATTCCACAAGATATCCCTGACGTGATACATTCCGGGGAGCATACACACAGCCATGGAAGCCCTCCGCCTCAGACTATCAATATCAATGTGCCTCCACAATATCCTCAGGAGCCTCAAGTAGGTGTAGATCAGCGTGCGCCAATACAGCAGGGGCTTCCATATGTGATACCACCGCCACCCATGTTTCCAGGGCCTGGTGGCGGACCCGAGTTTCAAGGACCTAGTTCCGGACCCCCCCTGGTAATACACCCACCGCCTAGGTCCAGGTCTGGATCTAGTTCCGGGAGACGCCCAGTGGTCATACAACAAAGCCCTCCTGTCGTATTACAATTGCCGCACGGCGAACAGGTCGCCAGACATCCCACTCGCCAAGAATTTGATGTTCCTCCTTCGGGTGGCGGCGCTGGCGGTCCAGTAGTGAGGTTACCTGGTAGCGTTGGACACGTTGATCGTTCACGATCTCGGTCTCGGTCACCTCGTGGATGGTACCGCGATAGACATAGATATCCTCCATACGACGATCCTTATTATCGACGAGGTCGACATCCTTACTCTCCTGATTATGATCACCCAAGACATTGGGATGACCGTCGACGCCGATATTACTCACCTGAATATGGCCCCCGTCGCCGTTATTATGACGACTACTCTCCCCGACGGGGAGGGCCGCGTGATTACTACTCACGATCGCCTTCACCACGACGAGGCGAGAGATATAGAGATGATGACCCAAGCAGGAGAGAGGGTCGCTCACCGAGTCACAGAGCTCCCACACGTTCTGAAGGAGACCCAAGCAGGAGAGGCGATCGCTCACCGACTCACAGAACTTCCAGACGTCCCAGTCACGACGAAGGCGATCGCTCACCGACTCACAGAACTTCCAGACGTCCCAGTTATGACGAAGGCGATCGCTCACCGACTCACAGAACTTCCAGACGTCCCAGTTATGACGAAGGCGATCGCTCACCGACTCACAGAACTTCCAGACGTCCCAGTCATGACGAAGGCGATCGCTCACCGACTCACAGAACTTCCAGACGTCCCAGTTATGACGAAGGCGATCGCTCACCGACTCACAGAACTCCCACACATCTCAGTCACGACGAAGGTGATCGCTCACGGACTCGAACTCCCACACATCTCAGTCATGAAGAAGGCGATCGCTCACCGACTCACAGAACTCCTTCACGCCCACGGACTTTCACTCGTCTCAGTCACGAAGGCGATCACCCACCGACTCAGTATTCAGAAGAGGATGTGCTTGGTCCTAGCCGCCACACATCTAGTCATGGCCGTCGTACACCTAGTCATGGCCAACGTACACCTAGTCATGGTATCCCTGCTTCTCCGCGGTTTGAGGATCCTCCGCGGTCACCAACTGTCATCAGGATTGAGCAAGAGCGCGGGTACCCTGAATCACCCACCGGTCAACCAGTGATCATAGCTCCGGCCGAACAACTCCCATTTCGTGGTACGTGGGTTACTGTGGACATGGACTTACTCTGACAAACATTCCAGAACGACGTTCTAGGAGCCCCACTAGTGAGCTTCGACGTCAACTGCGTCATTCCCCTGATGTATACATTCCAACAGTATATTCAGTGCCTTCTGTAAGGGACGATGATGGACGGCGTAGCCGTCGAACACCTCCAGTAACGGAACATGATGATGGACGACCACCACGCCATCGATTGTCCCCTGCAAGGGGTGACGAAGCTGACCCAGGTGGACGTCGCAGTGCTTCACGATTTCCGGACGACGAAGCTGGCTCACGTCGCGCCGCTTCGCAAGCTCCGTATGATGAAGCTGATCCCTACGGAGATCGCGCTGCTTCACAAATTCCGGATGATGAAGCTGACCCAGGACGTCGCGCTGCTTCGCGGGTCCCATCACGCACAGGATCGCAAGCAGGACGTGTGCCAGCCGTTATTCAACAGGATGATGGCAGCCGCCAAGAGAGCGAGATGGTTCATATCCCACCGCCTGGTGATCATGGACACCCGCCAGATCATGATCCTCATGTGCACTTTGACCCAACGGCTACCGAATTCGATGATGCCCTTAATCGGCGGCACGAACGACTGGACGAAGTGGAACGTGAACTCAACCAGGTCGTCCAAGGCGCCCATGAAGCTGAAGACCGTCGTGAAGCGGAGTTCCGAGATAGTGAAGACCACAGAGAGCAAATCTTCCTCCAGAACGAACAACGTCGTGATAATGAGGCAAGACAGCGCGGTGATGAACTATTTTCTCAACTGGAAGAGAGAGCGCGCAGTGTACCCCCCTCTACCGGTTCCTCCTCCTGGATCAGGGGATAATGCTTCCATCCTCGAATCAATTCACTCAGCTACTCACGAGGCGGCTTCTCGCCATTCCCGCGACATTTTGGAGACGGTTGGACTTGAGCGCGAGCAGGCTGCTCGCGAAAGGGAGTCTTTTGCATCCGAGAGGGAGCAGGAACGTGCTGAATTTGCTGCTGAGCGCGCTCGCATGGATGAAGAGCGCGAACGAAGGGTTCACGAGCTGGAAGAAGAGCTTACGCGCGTTCGTGGGGAGCTTGACAGCGAAAGGCAGCTACGACAGACTGAGAACGAGGAACGGACGGCTGCTGATGAACGTGACGAAGGCATACGCGCGCAATTAGGTGACATCACACAACTGGTCTCGGAACAACGCGATGAGTGTACCAGGAAAAAGGAACTTATGGATCAGCGATGGGAAGAAAAGCAGGGCAGGCGTGCTGAGAAAGATGCGCAGTTCCATGAACTGAAGGATATGGTCTCCAGGCTTATTCAAGACCGTGAGGCGGATCGAATTCAAGAGGAAGAGCGCAGACTACGGGAGGAGGGCAAGCCCGACATTCAAGTGGTGCTCGATGAACTCACCCGGCAAAATCACGAAATGCGGGAGGCGCTTCAAATTCTTTCTCAGGGTGTGTCTTGGGCATGTCTTTGAGTGGTGCTTTATTGACTTCATTCCTCATGGCAGACTGGCGGGCTGACAGTGAGCGGCGGCATGAAGAAACTCTCGACGCTGTCCGTGCTACTGCCCGGGAGCAAGTCCCGTTCAATGTGCAAATGGTGAGTACTTGTGAACTGTGTATTTCTTTTTTTAATGCCCATACGAAACTGTTTCTAGTATCTTGACGAATTTAGCAAAGCACTCGCGGCTGAGGTCCGAATGCTCCTTGGAGAAGTTGGCAAGCTTCGTGAAGAACGCCGTAGCATCCAACAGTGAGTTTTTGCTTGAATACGTCGTTCATGTGCCTGAACATCTATCTCTTCCAGTGAACTTGGATACCTGATGATGATGAAAGCTAAATACGGACCAGGAGGGGAGTTTGATCCTGACTGGTAAGATGTCTCGACTTCAACGTAGGCCGTTCTTATCTGTTTTGACAGGAAACCGCCGATGCCTGGTCCTGGTGGGCCTGATGCGCCGCCACCGCCCGAGGCACCTCCCCCGCCTCCTGAAGAACCTGGGCCTACTCGTCCGGCATGGCGCACAATCCCGCGCAACACGAGGCGCATTCGCAAGCCGCGTCCCGACCAACCACCGCCCCCTGAACCTGGTCCTGCACCTATGAGGCAGCCTGTACATTCCTGGGTCACCTGGCATCGTGAGTATCGCTTTCTCATCGCATCGTTAAGAAGGTGAATTGACGCCATGGTTACTAGCAAATCCTGCGCTGGCACCTACGCCGCCGTCGATTGAGCCTAACCTGATTGTACCTGACCAAGGCAGCCCTGGTCTCTTCGGACCTCGCTCGCCACGCAGCTACCGGTAAAGACTCATTGATTCGTCACAAAATAAAACCCAGGAACGATATTCTACGCATCATATCTTACTACTATCTTGATGACATCTAACGAGTACCTTTGCCTCCTATCTTTATCTTGCTCTTCATTTATCCTCCCCCGCATCTGCTTTTATTTTTGTGTTCGTGCTCTGCTCTTGGTTATGCTGCATGTTTTATGATCTTATCGTATGGCTTCTCTGAAGCTGGACTCACGTTCTATTAAATTTGTGAATGGATGCATACTTTTCATTTTCGAACTGCAAGCCAGGAGGTTTGGCTGATGGGTCGTAGCTATGCGAAGAAAAATGCAAGTATGAATGTAATACTGGTGCTCGTTGAAATAATGCAAATAATAAGTACTGATTGTCCATGATCGACTAGTGATAATCGGGCGAACATGGGATTTTATGTAAAACTTCTGCTGCTGAGTGTGCTCGTGGTAGTAAGGACGATAATGCGACCACAGGAGACGTTACTGGGCCGCTTCTCGGGTGATGGCGCCCTCAAGCACCAACTTCAACTTGGTTGCAAAGCCCTCTGTAAGAAGGGTCGGGCCATCAGAAGTGCAAAGGCGATAAGATGGCATGGGCTGGTACGTATCAGGAAGAATCTTTCAAGGACCTGATGAGCGATACTGAGTAGAACGCACATCATCCAAGCTCACCTTGCTATCCCGCACTAATACAGAGGCGATGATATCATCCGGGTTGCCTATTCTGCCTAGCGCTGGAAGGTTGCGGCTGTCTGTGACATTGTTTTTGGTTCCAGCCGAACGTAAGCAAAAGTAGGAGACGTCACGTACCATGTATATGCATCCAGCCTTGTTGCAATTGCAGTGCACCGTTAATCCAAATGTCGTCCACTTTTTCCCGTAACCCGGATTGAATTGCCTCGTGCATGATTGCACGAAACTTGGCTGTGTAGACAGTCAGTGGGTATATGCGAAATAATGTAGTGTGAGTGACGTACGGTTCTCTACGAAATCATTTAGCCCGGCTTCCGCGTCCGCTTCTCCTGCAGTCTCTGCAGGCAACCATCCCATGACAGGAGCACTGAATCGGGGGTCGGTGGTGGTTGAGTGAGGAAGGAAAGTGCATAGGCTGAGCCTATCATTGGAAGCGAAACGGGGTGGTAGAAAAGGTCGGGCCGAGATGGGTCTGATATTGCTTGATTTGAAGTTGAATAGCGCGTGAAGAGAGCATGCGTGCGACTGGTTGGAGACGCAGCTCGGGAAGCGTGCGCTGAGGGGATACGGATGGAAGTGAAAAAGCTGAAGGACCTTCTACACGGCAACGAGCTGGACGGTCGTATCGTGCATGCAGCGAACCGTACCGCCGCGTTAGTTGATGCTCGTAGCATGTTAGTGTTTGAGCCGCAAGGTTGGTCCCCGAAGCAGTCAATAAAATCCCGTCATGGTAATGATCGAGATCGGTAATCGCCGATTTTGATTTTCGATTAACCGTCACGTCATCTGCAACCTCCGCGACCCTAGTTCAAGGACCAAAGTTGAGTTTTCCAAACTATGATATCATGTTATATTCTTTTTCACCCGCCATCATGATATGACACCGAGTATAACGATACTTGAACAGATGCCCGTAACTTCGCACTGATTTCCAAGATATCATATCGTGACTTCAAGTGGTATCCCATTGGATTCTGCTAATGTGTTGTCGACATGTATTCTATATGGTGAGTATTCAATGTGTTCGTCCCTCCCATGCCATCTGGGTTTTTCGGAGACATTACGGGCCAAAAATCATATGCGACCAAGCGTGCGTTATACCTCTTGCAAACTCTACCTGCTAATGGGGTGCTGGTGGATTCACATTTTACTGCTATTCCTCTGGGCTTATAGAACTTCCTTCTGTTATCAAAGGTCTATCGCTGTTTTATTGTTTGGCACTCCATCTGCCAGGCTGGGTTTTCATCGTACCAAGCTTACTGTGATGCATCTCCGTAGGTTAGGTCGCAATTTCTCAGGAAGTGGTATACTCTGATGTTGCCTCGAAGTGACCGGTGTTTCTGCAAATTACTATATTGTGCAAGCCAGTACTGGTTCTGCGGGCATCTTCACTAAACCGCTTGGACAGTGGATCACTGCGTTCGTAGTTTTGACTATTACCGCTAATCTCTTGAGTTTCAGGTAAGTATGTTTCCATGAACACAATACAGAAGCGCGCTGAATGTGTACAGGATTACTGGCATATCATATCTGAGTAATTGACCGCGATAGTTCTGTAATTCGTGATACGAAGAGCACTAATTATATGATGCCGATAGTGCGCGTGCTCATGGATGCCGCTATTTTGTATTCTGCAACGGTTGTCACCTAACTTGTTTCCTTTTCTCGAACAATGGAGTCTGGACGGATGGTTTTGGCGGACATGGTAGTTCCGCTGTTAACATCTATCATAAAAACTGATCATCAACCCATTGGGTCGCGTCAATCATGGCGATTTCCTTCTACATGGTGCTCATTCGCTTCGCAATCACCAGGCAAACTCGCAGTTACCTCTTAACTGTCCTGTCCCTCCAGGAACAACCAATGAGATGGAATAAAGCAAACTACGGCCTTTGCAGGCCAGTATCTGCTAGCTACGCTCAAACACGGTATCTCGTCATATGGAATAGGGTTAATGCCGTATTAGAAAAATATTGCGCTTTTTCGCAGCGATTATTCATGTTGTAACTTTACTGATCTATCGCTCGTTCGTTGTACTTACCATCATTTGATGTACCGAATATTGTAACTGTATTCCCCTGTCGCTCCTATATCCCATGTACAAGCACATTTTTAGATATCTAAATACTGATTCATTCTCTTGACAATGATGTCTCTTTATGCTTGTCCGCATGAATCCACATGACGTCAAGGCATCCACGTAGCCGTGAGACTGTATTAGGTAAGCAGCTGTACAGTACCGTCAAGCCCCACCAATAGTACCCCACGCTTCCAAGGCGTTCTCCTTAGACACTTCCATCATCAAACAGGTATGTCACAATCTGGTTTCTGTTACTTCTCGATTTAACCCTCGGGTATCACCAGGATGAGAGATAAGTGGAAGAAAAAGCGTTCCCGTAGGCTCAGACGCAAACGCAGAAAGATGAGAGCCCGCTCCAGTTCGTATTCATTCCATATCCTTTCCGTCATCCTCTCACCAGACTAAATCAACAGAGTAAACGACTTAGCAGAGTGAGCCTGTGACGCTAAGGCCTCAACAAAATCTGCGGTGTGCTAACGCCGGGCAGGTCTTGCCCCGTCCTCCTCCGCGCGCCAAACATCTTTGGAGTGGGACGGATTCTTCTCAGCTGGACATACTGCTGGGGGGTGCTGCTGGTCGTGAATTGTACTCTTGACAAATGAATCAAATGTTGTTCTGTCCCATTCGTTTTGCATGCTCCTGTTATATATTGCAATTGTATTGTGATGTCAGATTGCCGTCAAGCATGAGTTTTGTGAACCAAAATAGCTTCGACTGCTAAGTATACGCGACGCGTCTTGCAAGATTACGCCTGAGAATTCCAAATTCTCATCTGAATGTTGAACGCATCTATCAACTGTCTCTCCTATCATCACTAGCTACAAAGCATTACTGCACCCTTGTCTCCGCAAAAACCAAGAACCAATTTTCGAATTGATAATGAAGCGTGCCAACACATCTACATCTACTCCCAAAATCATTCTCAAACCGCGCCTCGCGCAAACGCCAGCTACGCCGTCTGTCGTAGATGAAGAGGATGACGACTCTGTCGAAGAAGGCGAACTCCAGACCAAGAGAGAGGATTCAGAGGGTGTCCTTGACGAAGACGAGCCTGGTGATGAGGAACCCGAAGAAGGTGCTGCCGAAGGTGAAGGAGACGAAGGTGAAGGCAGCGGAGCGGAGGAGGTAGGGCCTGAAGGCGTGGAGCCACGACCGTTCCCTCGCCCACGGGGACGCCCGCGTGGAAGAGGTCGAGGTGCAGCCCCCACTGGGCCCGGTCGCGCAAGAGGACGCGGGAGAGGAAGGGGACGAGGACGAGGGCGGGGTCGTGGGTCTTTGACTATTCGACTACCAAAGCGTGACGGCGAAGACGCTGACGACGCTGAAGCAGAGGAAGGGGAGCAAGATGGTCGTCCATTCATGCGAGTAGGAGGAAAGGTGTACTTTATTGACGGGGATGAGTTTGTCGCGGACCCGGACGAGAAAGGTGACGAGAAGGTTGACGTGGATGGCAATCTTCTAGGAGGTGTGTACCATCTTTCTACCTGCTCAGTCTCTTGACCTTGTTGAAACCTGCGTCATGGAAAATCCAGGTCGTAAGTTCAAATGCCACACCTTCGTGCTACCCCAGCGGCACCCAAGCCGGCAGTATATGCTCGCCATCGATGCCGCGCGTGCGTCAGGGTTTCGTGATTCTCTATATTTCTTCCGGCGTAATCCACTCGCGCTCAAGCTCTCCGCCACGCAACCCGAAAAGGAGTTCCTCATCTCCGCAGGCAAGCTCGGTGCACACCTGAAAACGCGTAGTGTCACCCTCGTTACCGCACGCAGTGCATATAAACTCCATGGTGCCAAAATGATCCTAGGTACGCTCTTATTATTTTGCAATGAAATACGTCCAGAATTTATTATTTCTGGCTATAGATGGCCGCTGGGTCACAGACGACTACTACGAATCGAAATGTCTCGCTGAGATCACAGAAAAAGGACTTAAGCCAGGCGACCTCGTCGGCGAGCTTCCCGACCCCCTGGGTGCCTCATCTCAAACCGCACCTTCAGGCCAGCAGCCCGCCACCTCTACGTCATCGGGTATATATCGAGCGGGAGGACCTACGACCATTTTCGGGAGCACTGGTTGGGGACCGTTTAGTGATGGTCCACACAGCGCGGTGCGCAAATCGCTGCTAACAAGGGAGGGACTCACGGAAGAGAACTGGATGATGGAGGCTGCGCGGCGTGTCGGAGATGCCGGTGATGACTGGACGCGGATGAGAAGGGAGGCAAGGGTTGCGTGTGGTGGGATCCTCGGGGATGGACTTGATAAGGGGAAGGGGAAGGAAGTGCAGGCGGCCGATGGAGAGGAGAAGCGAGGGGCAACTGAGGAGCTGGAGGGTGCGGAGAGGAAGAGAGCGAGATCTGAGGAGTCCCAGTATCCGCTTGGCGTGTATGAGCCACACACAGGACTGGTGCATTGTATGTATATCTCTATTGCTGTTTTTTCCCGTGTTTTTATTTTATTTTCTCTAGATCGCGCAGATACGCAACCTACCCGCTGTCACTGGGAACAAATTGGACAGCGGAAGATGCTTCGGGGAACGAAGGCAGGAAATGGCGCTTGGGCGCTTGCGTGGGTCGATACACATATTGAACTGCCCACGCCAAAAGAGGCAGATCCATATGCACAAACGAGAGCAGACATTTTGGAGGCAGTAAGGGAGATGTGTTAGGAGATCAGTTCCTGTCCCCGCTGTTTACACAATGGATAAGGTCATGCGGTGTTGCCTGATAAAGTTTAGTTATATTCAGGGGTCCGTATTTTTGTTTTTGTACTAAGCTTGGACTGATTGTGTAACGAAAACACCGTCACTATGCATGTAGGGTCATTATCGATCTTTACGAGCTTAAGGCTTGAAGCTTGAAAGCTTGATACCTGATACTATTGAGAGTGTCTGATAAGGATCTTGTACGTTTTTTTTCGCGTTGCCAAACGGCAATTCACTTGACGTCCTTCAACTTGAAGTGCAGACCGCGTCGACTGGATTTGAGTTTGAGTTTGATGACCTTGCACAGTTACCACCCATCCTGGAAATGCACTGCTAAATGTCTACCCGATCTAACCATGCCGGTGAACTTCAAGTCTACCATTATGCATATGGCTTGTCCTAACAAATCTAATTCATTGCCTCCCATTCACTAGTAGCGGCAACCCGTCAAGTGGTCTCTGGTTGCTTAAGTCCAACTTTATGGTAAGGTCGGCAACCATCGACTCGAACGGATCTCTAATAATAAAAGCTGTCACTGCCAACTACGCATGTGACATGACCATGCGACATGTCAGGGACGAAAGACCCTGACGCCGCAGTGTTGTGTTTGGACTCTGTGGGTACATAATTGCTTCAAATTCAGACCTGTTATGCTGTGATCGTACGTACTTATCGGCGAAATCCCCGCAATGCTGATATAACCCTGTGTCATCAGTGAACAAGTGCTTGCGGAAAATAATGCCGTTTTCTTGTTTGACAATATCGGTACAAGTCAAGTATAAATAAGTCAGATCTTCGGTACTGAATTGAACAGATTCTTCCCCCTACCAGGTGCACGCCGTCTTATAGCAATGCGGCTAATCTCGTGGTTTATAACGATGGTAACATTGTCTGGATCTTGCCGTATTCAACGTCAATAAGAACAATATCCGAGTCTGACGGTACTGCCTTTGGAATCGAGCGCCGTGACCTTAATCAATTGATTTTTTTTCTGATGCTGATAGACGCTGAGAAATGTTCTTTAGTGGCGGCGGTTTTCGTTGTTCTATACCGGTCTTCCTTCGTGCCCTTTGCCCAATATCATCCGTCTGGCGGTGAGTTTCGCCTTTCACTGCAACTCCAAGTCAAGGGATTGGAATTAACCACACAGCAGAGCAAACGATGCGACTGCTACATACCTCGAGACTAATATTAGAAACGCCCACGGACACGGATGTGCAACCCTATGCCATCTTATCTCACCGATGGCTCGCCGACCATAAAGAATTATCTTTCCAAGACTTACAACGCACGCAAGTTCCTCCTGAGGAAAGCCCTCACGGTGATCATGCGGTATGTCATTTCGTTCGAGCTTCTGCTTGCTGGTATTTACCACCAATTCACTTCAAGGGGGCCGCCTTCCCTCCCAGCGTTCAAGGCAAAGAAGGCTTTAAGAAATTTCAAGGAGCGTGCGATCGTGCCTCTCTAGATGGCCTCGATTATATCTGGATTGACACTTGCTGCATTGACAAAACCAGCAGTGCCGAGTTATCAGAAGCGATTAATTCCATGTACGCATGGTATCGGGACTCCGCTGTGTGCTATGTTTACTTGCACGATGTCGGTACTGAGGAGGACCCCCAATCTGGTTTCGAAGACACTGATTGGTTCCAAAGAGGATGGACCTTACAAGAGCTAATCGCTCCAGATAATGTCTATTTCTTTAACAAGAACTGGATTATGATCGGGAGCAAGGCGACATTTGCGCATATCCTGAGTGAAATCACCTACATCCGCCAAGATGTTCTACTGGGTAACCCATACGTTCCTAGTATCGCGGAGAAGATGTCATGGGCCGCAGGACGAAAGACACAGAAAATAGAAGACAGAGCTTATTCACTGATGGGGTTATTTGGCATTCACATGCCTATCATTTACGGAGAAGGAGAGAAGGCTTTCAGGCGCCTGCAACTCGAGATCATGAAATCATCTGATGATCAAACCATTTTCGCCTGGCACGATTCACTGGAGTACCATGATTCTGTCAGAAATCGTGGATTGTTGGCATCTGCACCTGACGTTTTCCCGCGGGCTTCTCCGGCCGTCACCATGGAATATTCCCATTTTATCAACATTCTTCATCGCACTTCAGGGAGTCACAGCCTCTTTCGTGACCTGCCGCGTAGCTATTCCATTTTGAACGACGGCATTCACATTACTCTTCCCATGAGGGAAGTCGGAGATGGGTGGCTTGCCATCCTAAGATGCAAAAGGGAAGGTCAAGAGTTTCCCTGTGGGATCTACTTGAAAGAAAGACCAGGTTGCGATGGTTTTCTTCGGACTTTGCCCACAAAGCTTCAAGCACTCAAGCCCGCAGATCTCAAAGGCCTTGTCCCATATAAAAGACGTATTGTGATCGACCATCATATACTACCAATCATTAATCGCCGACCATTCTTCACTTTTCAGTCTAAAGGTCCCGTTTCGGAGCACCGCGGTTACTATATATGCCCTAAGCCGGGAGGCCATGACGTGGGTCAGAGGGTTGACCACCAAGTTCTTAATCCCGACACTCGGATTGAGCTTTCAGATGACGTGCGGTGTGCCTGCATTTACTCGCAGGACTCACGTGGCAACGTAATTGTCCTTCTCATTGGCATCGAACATCACCGTCCTTGGGTACACCTTCTCATAGATGTCGATGATGACCTACACCAATATGTCGACACTACACGACTTCGCCGTCAAACCTTCGATGACGCCCCTCAGCCTCAGAGGCCTCATATATCTGCTCCTACTTCCACCCAATCTAGCAACCAAGCCGATCCACTTGCGCCATCTTCCCCTACTTCCCCCCGATCTCCTTCTTCTCCTCTTTCACTGTTTACCTCCTTTACTTCCGCCGGAACCAACCAGTACAGACCCCGACCTGAGAGGCATTCCACCGCCCCTCCTCTTACTCAGCCGCACAGAGGTGGTACTGGGTGTCCTGTGTGTTCTATAATTGAAAACCACCCCAAGAAGAATATCATCAAGAACCGCAGGGTTGATTGCGGGTATGGGACGATGTCAGGCAATAAGATTGAGGTTAATATCCGAAAGGGACAGGTTCGCCCCGTCTCTGAGGCGATGCTTGGAGTTGAATATGTCATAACGGTAGCTGTATCTCCCCTAGCCCTTTTGATTTAGCGATGTGGCCGAAATTTACCTAGAGTACACGTACAGAGTATACTAATACCCTCGGGTACCAGTGTAAATTCCAGTACGTACAGCTGTGTACAGAACGCTTACCAGGCTGGACTTATATCAACAACAAGTCGGATCACGAATTTTCAAATTTCAACTTCCGATGGTCGATCGCGATCTACGATGGACCATACTCGCATGCTTACGAAGAAGCTGTGGGGAACTTATCCTGGTATCTGCCGAACATTACACGATTGACAGGTGAACTCAGCTGGGCTGAGCCCCCGAACTGAGCCTAAGAATTGAGCGCTGACTTGGTCTTCTTCTTGGAAGCTGAAGCAGTTCCGTTATCAAACCTGTGATGAGTGTCCATATAATATGATGGTCGCTCGGCGCTCAGGGTCCTCCGAGTCATGCTTAAAAGTGCGAGAAGGCTGGTCATTTCCTTTCCTACAAGAATATCATGCCCCCTAATCAATCACCGCTCAATTTCTTCACCAGTACCTCTGCTTACTCTCGATTATCATGGCCGCATTATGACCTTGGTTTCGCTTCCGGAATAGCAATTTTTTTCGGAGGCGAAGCAGCCGTATCCACTCTTGCATTACAACCGCTTTATGGTCGCACTGGCATATGGCATGGATGGTACAACACACCGGGATGCCACACAATTGCGTGGGAGATGGTTAGAACATTGTTGCGGGGTCCCTTCTCATCGTATTCAGAGAGACTCACGCTTTCTCTCGGCCTAGATGGCAAGAAAGGGCCCAAATACATTGCATCACATTCGGGAACGGTCATGCAACATACTCGCCATCTTGCGTACGTGCTTGATAAGAGCGACTGTAGGAGCATGGGGTGCGAGCCAGTGGACGTGGGTCAGAGGCATAGCCCGACGCCAATGCAATTGATAATCATGGACTTCAAGAACACAGTGCTGACGGGAGATGACACACTGCCCCCAAGAAGTTCTCGTTACTCCTCATTGCCCATAATCGCTAGTATTGCAAGCATCGGAGCTTGTGCCACTTGTGCCCATGTTGAGGACTGGTCGTCCTTCGTGATGATTCTGCTCGGGATGATCTCCTCTGGAATCACTTCTTTCATCATGTCCACCGGGAGCGTCACCCTTGAACGGCTCCAGCCGGCAGATGGAGTTCCACCTGGAGACGGCATGCTACTGTCGGATAATCGCATCGTGATATTGAGAGGAAACGAGGAGGACGTAAACGCTGTGACCAAGGGAAAACTGCGACTGAAAATCAAAGGAGGGGGTTACACCCTCCTTTTCTGCGCGTCCATAGCGTTGTTGCAAGTTACCCTACAGCTCATCTACATGCCTTCCGGATCGCCAACAGGACAACTCATGTTCCTGTTATCGCTCCTAGTGTCCGGGGGATGCAACCTATATCTATCAGCAAAGGAAGATGATGTGCAGTCAAGTGCCCTCATTACCCTACTGAATACTCCGGAGGTGAAAACGTACCAAACCAATTCTAGAACAACCGCTGCCGTTCTGGCGTGCCTAGCACTCTGTTGGAAGTCTAGCATGCCAGCTACGCAAGTCCTCCAGCAGATTGTCCCCATCGGGCCAAGACCGTGGGAGGCCTTGTCTGAAATCCTCGTGGAGAATATAACTAGCAGGAGCGAGGGATTCAGATATTGGCTTAGAAACGATCTGAGCGATCAGGAAAAGCAGCTTTTGACCGAGCTCATCGGTGATGCTCATGCAGCGTACGATCAGTATATTCAGGATTACGGTGGACGTTGAATAGTTGTATTCTATTATTCTTGCTTCCTGGTACTGTATAGTGATTCACCTTCATCACTCAGCCACACGATTATGTGACAACTGCGTTTGAGGTTCTACATGACTCGGATGCAAGTTGCTGGTGACGTTCGATATTAGTAGCGGTTCGCTTTGCCTCAGCGTTTGTTTCACTCTCGCTGAGGTATGTTATTCTTTTGTAGTCTGTATGCACTAGCACTTGTACATACTTACAGAGTTTAGTTCTGAGTCTTCTGACTTGCTGAATATGGCGTTTGTTTCACTCACTGAGTTCTGACTCGCTTTGCTAAGCCATCAGCTTATACGCGATATGCTCGTTCGGACCTAGATCTGCATGCGTTGCTTGTAAGCGTAGCATACGCTGGCTTCTTCTGCCGGGGTTGTGGATCTGATGGTTGTACATGCTCGAAGAAAATAGATACATCTCACCTGTCCGAGTCGGCCATACTTATATAATGACAAAAGACAAGTTTCTACAACATATCATGCACGACATGCCACCTATCATTGGCATTGCGTCCACCACGTCATGTCACTGTGTGGGCACGGAGAGGAAGAGAGCGAGAGCTGAGGAGTCACAGTAGTATCCGCTCTGCGTGTATGAGCCACATACAGGATTGGTCAGTGCATTGTGTATATATCTCCATCGCTGATTTTTGTTTTGTTTTCTCTAGATCGCGCAGACACGCAACCTACCCGCTGTCACTGGGAACAAATTGGACAGCGGAAGATGCTTCGGGGAACGAAGGCAGGAAATGGCGCTTGGGCGCTTGCGTGGGTCGATACACACAGATGAGAGCAGAAAATTTGGAGGCAGTCACAGGGAGATGTATTAGGAGATCAATTATCGGTCAAATTCTGTCCCCACTGGTTGCACAATGGAAAAGGTCATGCGGTGTTGCCTGATGAAGTTTAGTGATACTCAGGGGTCCGTATTTTTTGTTGTTGTACCAAGCTTGGACTGATTGTGTAACGAAAACAACGTCACTATGCAATGTGCATGTAGGTTATTATCGATCTTTACAAGCTCAAGGCTTGCAAGCTTGATACCTGATAATATTGGAAGTGTCTGATAAGGATTTGTACTTTTTTTCGCGATGCCAAACGGCAATTCAGTTGACGTCCCTCAACTTGAAGTGCAGACCGCATTTGAGTTTGTCTCTTGCACAGTTACTACCTGTTCTGGAAATGCACTGCTAAATGTCTGCACGCAATCTAACGATGCCGGTGAACCTCAAGTCTACCGTACATTACGCATATGGTTTGTCCTAACAAATTTAATTCATTGCCTCCAATTCACTAGTAGTGGGAGCGGCAGCCCGCGAAGTGGTCTCTGGTTGCTCAGGTCTAACTTTATGGTAAGGTTGGCAACCCTCGACTCGAACGAATCTCGCTGCCAACTAAGTAGTACGCACGTGGCACGACTATACGACATGTCAGGGACGAAAGACCCTGACTCTGCACAGTGTTGTGTTTGGACTCTGTTGGTACCTACTTGCTTCAAATCCAGACTTGTTATCCTGTGATGGTACGTACTTATTGACGAAATTCTCGTAAAGCTTGTGTCATCAATGACCAAGTGCTTGCAGAAAACTTTATAAAGATTCCATGCCATTGTCTTGTTTGACGACATTGGCACATCAATCAAGGAAAGTCAAATAAAGAAGGCAGATCACGGTACTAAATTGAACAGATTCTCCCCCCTACTAGGTCCACACCGTCATATGGCAATGCAGCCTCGTTTTTCATAACGATGGTAACTAATAACTGGATCTTGCCGTACGAAAATAAGCACGGCCCATCCGAACCTTGAAGGCACTGTGACCTTATCGATTGATTTTTTTTCTGATGCTGATAGACGCTGAGAAATGTTCTTTAGTAGCAGTCGTTTTCGTTGTTCCATACCGATCTTCCTTCGTGCCCTTTGTCCATTATTATCCGTCTGGCAGTAAATTTCCCCATTGACTGCAACTCCAAGTCAAGGGTTTGGAATTAACCACGCAGCAGAACGGACAATGCGACTGCTACATACCACGAAATTAGTATTAGAAACGCCCACGGGTGCGCGACCTTATGCCGTCTTATCTCACCGATGGCTCGCCGACCATGAAGAAATATCTTTCCAAGACTTGCAACGCATGCAACTTCCTCCTAGTGAAGGCCCTCACAATAATTATGCCGTATGTCATTTCGTTCGAGCTTCTGCTTACTGGCATTTACCATCAATCCACTTCAAGGAATCCACTTTCCCTCCCAACGTTCAAAGCAAAAAGGCTTTGGGAAATTCCGAGGAGCGTGCGATCATGCCTCTCGAGCTGGTCTTGAGTATATCTGGATTGACACTTGCTGCATTGACAAAACCAGCAGTGCCGAGTTATCAGAAGCGATCAATTCCATGTACGCATGGTATCAGGACTCCGCTGTGTGCTACGTTTACTTGCACGATGTCGGTGACGATAGGAACCTCCAATTTGGTTTCGAACACGCTGATTGGTTCCAAAGAGGATGGACCTTACAAGAGCTAATCGCTCCAGATAATGTCTATTTCTTTAACAAGGACTGGATTAAGATCGGGAGCAAGGCGACATTTGCGCCTATCCTGAATAAAATCACCCACATCCGCCAAGATATTCTGCTGGGTAACCCATGCAATCCCAGTATCGCGGAGAAGATGTCATGGGCTGCAAGACGAAAGACACAGAAAATAGAAGACAGAGCTTATTCATCTGATGGGGTTATTTGGCATTCACATGCCTATCATTTACGGAGAAGGAGAGAAGGCTTTCAGGCGCCTGCAGCTCGAGATCATGAAATCATCGGATGATCAAACCATTTTCGCCTGGCACGATTCACTGAAACATCCCAATTCTGTCAGAGATCGCGGATTGTTGGCATCTGCGCCTGACGTTTTCTCGTGGGATTCTCCGGTTGTCGCCATGGATCATTCCCATTTTATCAACAGTCTTCTTCGCATTGTGGGGAATCGCAGCCTACTTCGTGACCTGCCGCGTGGTTATTCCATCTTGAATGACGGCATTCATATCACCCTTCCTATGAAGCGAGACGTTGGAGATACGTGGCTTGCCGTCCTGAAATGCGAAGGGGAAAAACAGGAGTTTCCCTACGGGATCTACTTGAAAGAAAGATCTGATTGCGATGGTTACCTTCGGACTTCGCCCACAAAGCTTCGGAAACTCGACCCCGCAGATCTCGAAGGCCTTGCTCCGCGTAAAATACGTATTGTGGTCGACCACCATATACTACCAACCATTAATCGTCGACAATTCTTCACTTTTCAGTCTACAGATCCCGTTTGGGAGCACTGCGGTTACTATGTATGCCCTAAGCCAGGAGGCCGCCATGATGTGGGTCAGGGGAGTGGCTACCAAGTTCTTGATACCGACACTCGGATTGAGCTTTCAGATAGCGTGCAGTGCAGCTGCGTTTACTCGCGAAGCCCACATGGCCAAGTAACGGTCCTTCTCATTGGAATCGAACAACACCGTCCTTGGATACACCTCCTGACAAATGACGACCTATACCGGTATGTCGACACTTCACTACTTTACCGTCGAACTGTCTACGGCGCCCCTCTTGTGTCTTCCCCTACTTCCACCCTATCCAGTAGCCAAGCCGATCGACTATCTCTTGCGCTACCTTCCCCTACTTCTCCCCAATCTAATCCTATTCTTCCTTTTGCGCTGTCTCCTCCTCGTTCACCGTCTTCTTCTCGTTCGTTGTCTCTCTCCCATACTTCTACGGGAACCAACAACCACAGATTCCCACAGAGGAATTCCACCGCCCCCTATTCTCAGCTGCACATCGGAGGTGGCACTGGGTGTCCTGTGTGTTCTATCATTCAAAAATACTCCCTCGACATGAATGTCATCAAGAATAGCAGGGTTGATTTCGTGTTTGAGACGATGCCAGACAAGCAGATTGAGGTCGACATCCGAAAGGGACAGGTTCGGGTCTCTGAGGCGACGCTTGAAGTTGACTATGTCATAACAGTAGCTGTATCTATGCCCGAAGCATAATTTTGATTTAGTGGATGTGGCCTAATTTTACCTGGAGTACAAGTACATAGAGTATACGCCGGGTACCAGTACAAATTCCAGTACTTAACAAGATTTGTACGGTATTGACATAGCCCATGTGCATCGATTATAAAGGATTGCGTTATCTTAAACAGCAAGAGTGATTCCTGTGGGGAAGTGTCATTGGTCGTGCCTAAAACAGATCACAGCCTTGACCAAGGACTGACCACAGCACTCTTGATATTATCTTCAACGTCGAAGACTTGCCAGTGTGCAGGTCCTGAAGAAGTGTTACACTGACCCCACTAGTTCGGCTCATGAGTCGTGGCGCCCAGGTACTTTTGGTTGGAGGTCTTCGGCGAGGCTGAAGTTCCGTGCATCTACCTTATCTCAAACCTGTGTGGGTGTCCATTATGATGGTCACTCAGGGTCCTCTGAGTCATACAAGAAATACTTAAAAACTAGAGGGCTAACCATTTCCCTTCCTACAATGATATCATGCCCTTTGAATCGCCTCTCAGTTTTCTCACCGGTGCCTCTGCTTCCTCTCGATTATCGTGGTCGCATTTCAACCTCGATTTCGCGTCCGGAATAGCAATTTTTTTCGGTGGCAAAGCAGCCCTATCGGCGCTTGCATTACAACCACTGTATGGTCGTATATGGCACGGATGGTACAACGCACCTGGATGCCATGCAATTGTGTGGGAGCTGGTTAGAACATTGTTGCAGGGTTCTGTCTCATCGTATTCAGAGAGACTCTCGCTTTCCCTCGGCCTGGATGGCAAGAAAGGGCCCAAATACATAGCATCGCGATCAGGAACGGTCATGCAGCATACTCGTCATCTCGCGTATGTGCTTAATAACAGCAAGTGGAGGGGAAATGAGTGCAAGCCAGTGGTCGTGGGTGAGAGAAGAAGCCCGACGCCAATGCAATTGATAATCGTGGACCTCAAGAAGAAAGTGCTGACGGGAAATAACACGCTGCCCCCAAGAAGTTCTCTTCACTCCTCATTGCCCATAATCGCTAGCGCCACTAGCATCGTAGCTTGCGCCATTTGTGCCAGTGTTGATGACTGGTTGTCCTTCAAGATGATTCTGCTTGGGATCGTCTCCTCTGGAATCACTTCTTTTATCATGTGCACCGCGAAGATCACCCTTGAACGGCTCAAACCGGCAGATGGAGTTCCACCTGGAGACGGCATGCTACTGTCGGATAATCGCATCGTGATATTGAGGGGAAACGAGGAGGACGTAAACGCTGTGACCAAGGGAAAACTGCGACTGAAGCTCAAAGGAGGGGGTTACACCCTCCTTCCCTGTGCGTTCATAGCGTTGTCGCAAGTTACCCTGCAGCTCGTCTTCATGCCTTTCGGGTCACTACCAGGACAACTCATGTTCCTGTTATCGCTCCTAGTGTCTGGAGGATGCAACCTATATTTATCAGCAAAGGAAGATGATGTGCAGTCAAGTGCCCTCATCACCCTACTGAATACTCCAGAGGTGAAAACGTACGAAGCCAGTTCTAGAGCATCTGCTGCCGTTCTGGCGTGCCTAGCGCTCTGTTGGGAGTCTGGCACGCCACCTAAGCAGATCCTCAAGGAGATTGTCCCCATCGAGCCGAGAGTGTGGAAGGCCTGGTCTGAGTTTCTCGAGGAGAATATCAGAAAGAAGAGCACGCACTTCATGTATGGGGACAACGAGTCAACGGGCGACCTGGACAATCGGGAAGGGAAGCTTTTGCTCGACCTCATTGATGACGCTCATGCAGCGTACGACCAGTATATCAAGGATCACAAATGATCATATATCCATTACATAGTTGTACAGGTGTCTGCGCGGTGCATATGCTTGAGTCTGCACACTGTAACGGTCACTAACAGCAAGCTTCATTAGAACTTTACCAGCAATACGCATTTTTTTTTTCCTTCGGACCTTCTGCATTGCTTGTAAGCATACATTGGCTTCTTCCACCGGGCTCCTGGGTCTGATGGCAGTACATGTTCGAAGAAAATAAATACATTTTACATACTAGGAGCAACACTACAGCTGACCGCCTTGCACTGAGTCGGAGTCGGACTGACCCGAACAATAAACGATAAAGGCTCAGCGCTCAGGCACTAAATTTGAGGCCCTTCTGTGAACCCTTTTCTATTTCCTTTGGGGGTTCGAGGATATGCCAGCCAGTACTCGGGTGCCTCGGTAGGATTGTGTCTCCAGAACTAGCCACAATAAGTTCCAAGTGCTCACTGCAGTCGAACATTCAGAACTTCGAGCTTCAACGGTTATTTGTCAGAGCTCGTTGATGACGCTCACTGGCATGCCCACTCAATGTACCCGACTCAGTACGATCAGTATATTAAAAATCACAACATATTCATCACATGGCTGCACCTGCGCCATGTCCACATCCCCGTTACCTTTCCCAAAGCAATGTAAAGGTTGTTTTCTGTCAGTTTTCAATATTTAAAAAGCGATATACGAAAATTGCTTGTTCTCAACTCGACGTTCCTGTCGTGACTTCATACAGACCGTCTGCAGGACGCCAACCGAGCACCTCACTCCAGAACTCCAAGATTGGCTGCCATTCCTCCCTCAAGCTTGCGCGTGGCATACCCTCACCCGCACGCTCCACATCCTTCACCCGAGAGAAACCCTTCCTGAATGCATCTAGCGCCCCATTCTTGAGCTCACGTGGGCGGTGAAAAACAAGAACAGGTGTCTCGCATGGTTTCGAGAGCGTTGGGTATGAGAGCAGCGGGCCAGAAATCGTGACGAGCGAACCCAAGGGTCGCACCGGGGTCTCTTTGCTGGTCATGCGCGACTGTGATGAAAGTTCTAGCTCCCGACGCCACCACCGCAGACATGCTTCGGCTGCAACGCTTCCGCCCTGCGCGAATCCGAACAAGTGGATGCGATGTGGAGGCCATCCACATTCACTCGTCAGATAAACTGAGGACATTCTTCAGAAGATTGAGTGCGGGACTGGGGTCTGGCCGTTCGATGAGATCACCGAGCTGGTCGAAGGAAGGATACCACTGAAAAGCCTGTTCGTACAGGAACGGGACGCTAGTACATTGTCAAGTTCGATACACACACAACCAGGATGATCGAACAGACACGTACAGATCAGGTGCGCGGAGCGCGAGGGTGGCTGTTTGCGGAAGCTTGAGTGATCTCCCAAGGCGCGCGAAGGGGACATTAGTATCACCTGTTCACCGATGACTTGGTTCGGATTAGTTGCTCTAGCTAAGTGGTATGACGCCGCGCTCACCGAGCCCGTGCAGAAGAATAAGGAGATTCTCGTCTGTTCCGTCGTCACTAGGGGAATAGGAGAATTGCGTATGGATAGAAGAGGTTTGTGGAGCAGGTTTTACACGCGGAGAAGGAACGGATGCCTCTGCGAGGACGTGGATGTCTGGGGAATCCATTCAAGAGTTTCGTTAATAAGCTGTCTTATTAATATCTATGAATATTTTGTAAGTGCCCAAGTTAACTGGATGGCTCAACTACGAACTAAGTCAGACTCGTAAACTATCTATCTTATCTGCTCATGACACGTGCCAATCTAGCTGGCTCTCCAGATTAGTGCCAGTGACTCCGGCCCATCAGACGAAAACAAGTTCCTTGTTATGCTGCAGGAACCTACATAATTAATGTGGCTACAGTGTATTTATTTCCACGACACCGTTACCGGTTTTGGTGGTTCTTCCCAGTTGAATTTGAATGGACCACTTGGTGGAGAGCACTTTTCAGGTGCAGGTGCAGGCGTAGGTGCAGGTGCAGGCGCAGGTGCAGGCGCAGGTGCAGACGCAGGTGCAGGCGCAGGTGCAGACGCAGGCGACGAAATTCTAGGGTAGTGGTAGTGGTGCCTTAACATTTTCTCGTGGAGTTTGGTCAGGATGTCAGCCCCGTGCGGGAGGTTAGCGCTAGCGATCTTCTGAATAAGTGTCGGAAAGTCTTTCATGATAGTGGGAGTAACGATGTTCTGGAACAAAATCTCGACTTCCATCTCAAGAATGGCGGGAAACCTTTAGAAGACATGTCAACATCCCGATGGTAGCACAAATGTATGATCAACTAACTTGGATGTCAGAGACGAAGAGAGTTCCTGTAGGACATTGTGCTCAGTTAGACTGGAGCGTATCGCAGCAAGCGCTTTGGCCTGTAATTTATCGTGTTTTATCTGGTACAGTCCCGAGTATGAGTTCACGTGGATTATCAAAGGTTACACGAGACACACCTTGCATGCCAGGCGATACATAGACTTCGGTGAGCATGGTGGGGCCTCACCGAGGCTGCGACATCTTACTGACTTGCTGGCTTGTGATCGCAAAGGTGCAAAAACGATCTCGTCAGTGTACAGATAGTCTAATAAAGCCTGCCAGCTATGGAAAGTCAATGAGCAACAGAATCTAGCGCTAGGCTGTTAAACCGCACGTTTTGAACGCAGTATCTGTTACTAAGACTCTGCGGCTTGGAATGATACGTTGCGCCCCTTTGGTAGCAGAGTCCTTGATCGATGCCGTTCGAGATGCTCGCTCCGCAGAGACTTCCGCACACTTTTCATCTTCAAAAGGTCAACCTAAGGTGGATATACTGTGCCAAAATGGGTGGAGCCACTTACTGTCTTGTACAGTTTCGTCGGTCTCCTCCTCCTCTTCATCAAGGTCACTATCGGACGCGTAGCCATATTCATCGAGAGATATCGCTGCCTCACAAGCGTGATAGTCTTGAAATTCGACCACGGTAGAATCATTGGGCGTTGTTTCGGAAAGTACTGAAAGTGTCTGCTGAACTTGACTGAGTGGTAACAGAATTGCGAAATGGCTTACAGCTACTAAAATACTCTGAACCCACTGTGAGGGCTTCGTCATTGGCAAACAATGCCTGAAGGTTGGTAACGTTGCCCTGACGCTTCGATCGAACGGAGAAGAGGTAAAATTGGGTGTCAAGAAGTTCCCCAATAAGCGACTTCCTTAGCAGAGCATTAATCCGCGCCTGGTTGCTCGACATTGCAGAGCTACAAACAGGCACACTGGCAGCGAGAACGGAAATGGTCGATTGAGATGGAGATAGAATTCTCAAGGGACTTCGATAATATCGAGGATGCCGTATTTATGTGACAAGCCTAATACTTAGGTGGTCCGAACAATGGTCGGACCGAGACGATACGTGTCGTGTTATATGCAAAATGAAGGTCAAAGGGGAAGGACTTAGAAACAAATGGAATGTGCATGGGAGGACAAACATCTATGTTTGGACTCGTCTTGAGAGACACTTCAGAGCGATGCTTTTGGGATAGTCTAGGGACACTCTCGTACACCATACGTACCATGCTCTTTTTAGTATTTATGACTGTCGGAGATGCGGTGCGCAAAGATCTTGCGGTTATCAGAGAGATAGATGCGTACTATAGGGATCAGATTCAGATTGATACTGCGCTACATAAAAATCAAGCTATCTAGTTTTCTGAGATCACCGATAACGAGTGATATAATTCTTTGTCTGCAAAGTTATTCAAGAAATAGTCGTCAAACACCTCCAGCGAGTTCCCGGAATTTACGTCCTTGCCCAATGGTCCTTGATACACAGGTATAATCTCCACCGCATGCGTAACGTCTGTGAGAGGGATTATGGATCCGCGCCTGATCACCCTCCCTGGCTGGGAAGGGAATCGATTATATGATCGTCTAACCATCCACATACCCGTGGATGGCTCGGGGCCAGGTACAACGAAGTCAAAATGCTGGATGTATACCAGTACCTGAGACAAGCGCTCAGGGAGCTGCGCACGGGAACCTCTAGGAAGAATTGGCTGGAATATGGCTCGTATTTGAGCGACATAAGACCCTGTAGAACGATATAAGGCCGCATCAGGAAGTGTCACTGCTGGTAAGTTTAAATACGCACTGTCATTATCACCATCGACCCTCTGGCTAAATAACATGGCGTCACAGTTCCCTCCAGGGAAATTACTGGAAGGTGGTTCGGCATGAATCTGTTGGCTTGGCATGATTCTACAAGTGTGGAAGGCGGAATGTAGCTGGATCCGAAATTTCAACCATGTATTGAATGATACATGATCAGGGAGTGTGCAGCCATTGCAGGTTGCATAGAGGTGTAAAGCATGCGCGAAATCAGGGAGATTATATAATGACTGCAGCTGAGACGCATCGAGGCGGCTGCGATCTGCTTTCATGGTCACGTTGAAGGCAATCCGTGCGTTGTCCGATATGATACCCTTCAGGAAATGATTATGAACAGGGCGCGGGCCTTGTAGACGTAGCTGGGCAGCTGGGTTCACATTGGAGACCCAAGCAAGAGTAGGATCTGTTTCTGTACTGGCGATCTCTTCATCTTCAATGATGACAGCATTGATGAGCGGATCCTGATCAGGAGTAGACGTAGATGAAGATAACAATGTGTAAAGGTCGAACAGCCGGATAGTCTCCTCCCGATCGAGGATGCGAGCGATCTGCAGAATGAAGTCTCTCTGACGACTCGTGCGTTCAAATGGATGTTTGCAGTGAGTTATCAAAAGACGTTCTGATACGTCTGCTGTCCACTGCAGGAGTGAACCGACATTGAAGATCGCGCGAGCAAAATTTTGCATGAGTTCTAGTTTGGGAATGAAGAAGTCGTCCTTAGCGCCACCTTTTCCCTGTCGGGCCTCTGCGTCAATGATAGCCTGCTTATGATCGTGGAAGTCCCGCAGTGCTTGAATCATGGAGGCGATGCTGGATTCGGTGTGGAGAGGATTCTGTGCAAGGTAGATAAAATCGATCATCGCACGCACAGCGCGGATGAACCCAGGGCTTGCCATACCCCACAGCGTTGGCACGATTGTGCGCTGGATATCACGGTGCTCTCGTCCAGTCATTTGGTTGACATGAGAGACACCCCCAGAGAAATGGCGCACACCGGTGCGCTTGTGGTGACTCTTGAACCGTATGTCAAGTTCATGACCCATGACCTGTTTAATCCACTTAAGAACGTGATCGAAAAAGAACTTATGCAGCGTGTGCAGAATCTCCGGCGTCAGAAATTTTGCAGGATTACAGAACCTCCAGTTTCTCCAGAACGGCAAGTGCACCCCACTGAGGTGAAGCTTTTTGGCCTCTCTAAGGAATATAATAAGATCCCATGGGTCAACACGGTTGCAAAGCGACTGAATAAGTGCATAAGTCTCCATTCCGTTCCATGGAGGATGTGGTGTTTCATCGCCAAACTCTTTCTGAGTCGCTGTGGTGACAGGAGAAGAGTTTTTCATGACGCATGCGATCATCAGTTGTTCGGGGAGATCAGCTATGTGACTGATAAGAGGGGTGAAACAGTATCGCAATCTGGCCGAGGGATCGACCATATACTCGCCAACACGGGCTGCGACCTTCAAATTAGAGCATACAAGATCCATGCATTTGTGCCATAAACGCGACCGGAGTAGAGTTTGAAAGTCGGAGTTGACGATGAAAGTTGGTATGGGCATGAATGCAGTACATCGCCATGCATGCGATGTCGCCTTCATGCGGACGTCGGCCTGAATATTTCCGATCGTTAGAAATAGTGGGTGCATCTCAAGGCCACCCGTGTGTCTTGTAACTGGGGTTTTGTCGGAGGCAGCAATGATTGGAACAATAGTCGCCCCTTCGGGTAGTTGATCCTAAGTTGAATGTCAAGCGTCAGTTGCTTGAGTCATGACTCTAAACCAAAGCGCAAATACCTGAATCTCCCATGCATCATTTGACGTCCAGAATTCTCCGAATTGACGCTCTTGTCCTTGATAGATACGGTGAGGGTCATAGCACATATGGTTCGCATAAATGGGGTTTGCAAAGAGCTGCTTCGTAACCTCCAACCCGTCCCTCCAAATAAGGTGAATCGGCTGTTCACTTTCGTAGCCCTTGAGCTTAAGCTTTGTACTCTGCCACTTTGGCCCACGGCCAGGAAGCTGCTGCATGTAGAAGAATAGTTCATCCTTCAACTTGAATTGTGGCCGCTCTCTTGTCTTGAACTGAAGTATGTGAATTTAAGTATTTATTTGATAGTAATGAGACATACCCAATCCAACTTGAGGAATTTGTCGATCTGCGTCTGGGAAAGGTTCTCGACGAGGAATTTTGCAAGCGACCATTCACCCAGCCCATCAAATGGATACCATACATTGGTCTCTCTGGCTTCTTGAAGAGGATGGCTTTGCATTTCTTGGAACATATTTTGCGGAGGAGGTTGATCTGGAAGCAGGTAATGGTAGCCAGAGGTGGGGGTGATATTTTGCTGATAAGTTTGTCTGCTCTGGCGGTCGCTGTAGAGCCTGCGGGACAGGCAGCATCAATCCGTCAACGAGGTTCTCTGGCCAGCACGAATCTGCACTGTTTAGATGTTCAATTACTGCCTCAGCTGACTGGCATTGTTTCTTGCAGTTAGGACACAGAGTGACAGTAACGTTGAAGGGTGAACTGGAGAAAGAGATCGGTGAGTCATACAATACCTCATAGTACTACTACTTACTCATCAAACTCAGAATCAGGTTCCTCATACTGAAAACCAGGGTTATATGGATCATAGCACTGAGGATACGCCATAGGGAGTGAGGTACTGCCAGTGTGACAAGAGCTGCAAAAGCGTTAAGTCCTTAAAACTCCGACCGTTGTTGGCTTGCTGCTGTCAGTGACTTCAAAGCGACTTCATGCTACAGTTATGCCATATCCATATCCTCCACAGACTCCGTGCCAGGATCCAGTAAATGGCGAAACCCCTCCAACCAGCCCACTGCATAGCCCAAAATCTAGCCTACTTTTCCCAAAGGTCGATTACGCCGAAGCTTTCACTCGTATCTACCATGATAGCCCCCAAAGCTCCTCTCCACCCAGCAGCCTTTGTCCTTCATCGCCCCCAAGTATCTGTCACATCCTTCCAGATACTGTCAAAGACTCAATGAAGTTCTGGCAGCATCTGTTACTTCCTCTGGGCACCATGACTTTGGACACGCTGATGTCAGTCCACCTATGAGAAAGCATGAGGGGCGACACCATATTTCACAGTCTGGTTACCACCCTTACGTCCGAAAAAATCCCCCCACACCGCAGGCAGTGCGCAAGATAGCAGGCATGATGGGAAGATTAGCTACCAGTACAAATTCAGACCATGACGACGATGAAACGGTATGTCACTATGTTTTATGCAGCGACTCTCAGTGACACATTGTCATTGTTCTAGGCTCGCCTAATATTTTCGCAGGGCCTGCAGCAGATGTCTACTGAACGTGTTCGCCGTGCTGCTTATTACAAGGAAGCAGAACTGGAATACCATCGGCATCTCTCAATGACTTTAGCTTGGGAGGCGGAGAAGAAGCTCTCAAGGCTCAAATACAGTGGCTCAAAAAACTGTCCGCATGTTTTGACATTTTTCACTATCTATGATATTGTGTGAGAATGAACAAATTCCTCAAGGACATACTTATACCACATTGTAGTATGGCTTCAGGGCTTTTATTTGAGCTCTACACCGTGGGAATCGGCGGAGATATGGTGGAGATATAAGGCTTATAAAATGATGACTCATGTGGACAGTTTTTTGAGTGTATATTAAAACTATATAAATCATTATTTATGACACCATAAAAATCATGCCACTATTATATAAATTATAAAGTGGTGTCATTATGTTATTTTATGACTATATCTAACTATATAAACCAGAATATCTCATGTATCATAGTCATAATCACCATGAAAGCCATCTCCTCTGCTCAAAGAGATAATATCCTCTCTCTGTCTTATGCTGGCCTCTCTGCTCGCCAAATTTCCTCTAGAACTGGAATATGCAAGTCCACTGTGGCCAAGTTCATCAAAGAAAGCCACCCAGACAAGGAAAACTCTTGTGGAGGACGTCCATCCAAGCTTACCTCTACTGACAAAAGGGCTATTATCCAACATATCACTACAGGAAAGGCTGATAATGCTGTCCAAGCCACCCATTATATCAATTCCACCATCACTACCCCTGTCTCTTCACAAACTGTGAGGAATGTTCTCAAGGCAGCTCATCTCAAGGTGGTAACAAAGAAGAAAAAGCCTCTTCTCTCCATCAAACATAGGCAGAGAAGACTAGCCTTTGCCTTAGCTCATCAACACTGGACTGTAGAGGACTGGAAGCATGTTATATGGTCAGATGAGACCAAAATCAATAGGATTGGGTCAGATGGGAAGGTGTATGTATGGAAAAAGAAGGGAGATGGCCTAACAGACAGAGAGGTTAATGGGACTGTCAAGTTTGGAGGAGGTTCTTTAATGGTATGGGGCTGTATGGGATGGAATGGTGTGGGAATGCTTGCTGAGGTTGAGGGGAAGATGAATGCTGAGCAGTATGTGGACATTTTAAATGACCACTTGCTGCCTAGCTTGGCAGAATCAGGGATTGATGAAGAAGATATCATTTTCCAACAGGATAATGATCCCAAGCACACATCCAGAAGAGCTAGGGAATGGTTTGAAGAACATAACATCAATGTTCTTGACTGGCCAGCACAGTCTCCTGATGTCAATGTCATTGAACATCTCTGGGGAACACTCAAGAAAAAGCTTCAAGCCTATGAAAACCCCCTAAAGGAGTATGGGAGCTTTGGGAGAGAGTAGCAGTGGAATGGGGGGAAGATCACAGCTGAGGATTGCCAGAAATTAATTGAGAGTATGCCTAGAAGGATAGAGGCAGTAATTAAAGCCAAGGGAGGTCATACAAAATACTAGAATACCTGGTTATTACTGTAAAATACTTGAGTCAAAAAACTGTCTGCATGAGTCACTATTTTGTGAGCCTTGTATCTCCACCATATCTCCACCGATTCCCACGGTGTAGGGCTCAAATGAAAGCCCTGAAGCCATACTACAATGTGGTATAAGCATGTTTTTGAGGCATTTGTTTGTTCTCACACAATATTATAGATAGTGAAAAATGCCAAAACATACGGACGGTTTTTTGAGCCACTGTATTTCATTGATGGCGAACAGCAGGAGCAGGAAGAACAAACCATTCGGGCATTTGAGGAAGCGGCGCTCTTTACACGTATGGTTGCTGATCACGACACAGAACGTGCTTCCCAGGATCAAGAGTTCATTGCTGTGATCCAACAGGACGAGGTGAAAAGGGGTGAAACGGTTGAATGCTGAACTCGATGAGCTTGGCATCTTTCTTCCCTTGGACCCATCGGCTTCAGACCTCGACAATGCTGACACACGCTCTATCGGAGATCCCCGCAACTTTGATCATCCATCTGTCGGAGACCGTCCTGAGAATCAGCTGGTGATAGGGGAGTGAATCAGAGCGCAAATATAATTTTATTCGCCAATACCAATGTATGTACGTTGTTTCATGTGGCGGCATGCGCTCATTTATTTATAGGATGTAGCTTGAATGATAGGATTGGATAGCTGTAAGGTGGTAGTACATATGCGAACATGTTTCTTTGGCTTTCGACTATTTGATATGTTGACGTCTTTGTTTGTTGTTTGTAGAACCATATTACCTTGAATGTAGTGCTTCGTAAACTTTGTTTCATGCCTTTTACTATTATGGACACTGAGTACTGATTATCGATTGATCGATTGTTCTGCACTTGACCACCATGTCCTCTCGCCAAAATGCACCGTCTAGACGCAGGATTGTACGGGTGAGTAATTTGGGATCTATCTCTTAGTACACTGACTCACAGCAACATGATAGGATGTCCCTATTGTTCGACAAGCAGGACTGAATATCGCAGGGCATTCATCGACAGATCAACTTGGGTGTACGTCAGAGACACCAGAGTCAATGGACACACCGGAATTACCCCCTCGCATCCATTATCACCCCATTTTCTCGCACGACGGCTACAGCTCGATGCCGCCTAACTACCAGGATGATGTGCCTTTACCAAGGGAATCGCACCTCACCAGGACAGCACCCCACGCTTCGGGGCCTGACCGAGTCCATCAAATGTTTGAACCGTCTCGGTTTCGTATGGTATATACATACATGCCTCTTCGCGGTGCAGAGAAATCCCGCCAAGAATACACTGATGGTGTCGTTTATGTAGGCCCTACATTTTTGTACTTTGAGTTGTCACTAACCATACCTTTAGAGAGATGTTACGACAGGGATACAAAAAACGACTGCTCGACGATTCCACCTCCCTCCGCTTAGACCCCCGAGAGAGTCACTCGCTACAAATTTGGAGATCACGCCAATTGCTACTACTAGTACTAGCACCCCTCAATCCTCTGTATCAGCCCGTACGGTGCGCGAGCATGCCCCTGCCACAGTACCTGTGGTCGACAAAGCGCAGTCGAAAATTATTGTCAAGGACGCGAAGGAATATGTGATCGCTGAAACATTGAATACATGCGGATTTCACGATTCCTCCAGTCGCTTAACCGTAGTATGTACCGCGCTCAGCAGTGCATGTTTGTCTGTCATCACGGAAGGTGAGTACTGTCATTAATACAAGATCGATAGTACTAGAACTACTTAACGGCTAGATCACTCGATTGAACTATGGATCAACGAAAACTTATCTATGTTGTACAAGACCGTTATCACGCCCATGTCGACGATACTAAATCGATTCAAGCACTGCGCACAGGACCTCGTTGGCAATCTTTACAGGCTTCAAATGTCAATTTGGACAGACCCTGCAGTCCAGGCGAATCACAATAAGTCGACTGTTGATTTCTTCATCGGCAACAATAGCCTTAACTACATATTTGGTGATCCGGTGAGAGTACATACCATTTCACAGTTTCTATCATTCAGAGGATGACGAGACGATTGTCAGCTTGAAGATGGTAGAGAGGTCCGGTACCCGTTCGAGCACGAAGGGATAATCCAGATCGCAGACCGTGCCGCCTTTCATGATGGCTATGACAAGTTTATCTACTCGGACAGTAGCCTTGACAACATCATGGCGATGTCTGCAACGGCTGCATGTTGCAGCTTGCAGGAGTTTGCCACTGGTGTATTCAAGCAAATTGATTTCACTTACGCTAGTTTTCACGCCATATATACGAAACTCATCAATTTCATTCGTGTTAACATTAGGAGCAATCCAGCGTTGTTAGCTAGATGGAATAGATTGTTTCAACTTCTTCGCGCGGGAGCTCGTTGATTGCTAGATTATCTTGATGTGGCTACATAGTTATCTAGACATGATAATCTTAATCTAAATGGCTTATCTTGGAAATTTTGTCAGAACTGAGATACACATATACTTCCACCAATCGCATGAGTTCGCTAGTGAAGTCGTAAGCGTTCGTAAGTGTTCGTAACACGCGTAAGTTAAGCGTTCATTTCGTCGTTTTGCAGATGAAGGATGGAGTTTAAGCAATCGGACGCACAGATAAGGACTGGAAGTTACTAAGTGCTCGTGTTCTGCACGAGGTGAAACTGTGAGATAGTGAAATAGGGACGTAAAGTTAATAATTAGGAAAGGATGTACATATTCATAGTATGTAGTAATACAGCCATACGACCTCGCAAGTCAACCCATGCACGCAGCGAGCGCTTTGAGAGATAAAATCTCGAAACATATGTCGGAAAGCAGGTAGGTTTAACGTAGCAAAGGAAACGTGATTTTCGCGTAGAGTTGACCTCGAGGTCTATTTGTGTCGAGTTCCTTGTTGTAAGAGCCTATTAAATTATGCCATACTATTCAGTTTGTGCACACCCCATCTCATGCAGTCACACAAATGTAACGGAAAGTCGCGATATCGTCACACTAGCTGGTTTCAAAGTCCGTTCGGTGCTAGACATTAAGGAAGAAGGTACGGGGTGTACTGGCTATGTAGTAATCTAAAATATGTATTGTGTGTTGCCAGAGTAATATAGACTCTCGTCATCATTGAGATGCCCAGCTGGGGGGAGAGAAATACTTGTTGAAGGTGTCGAGCTTTCAGTCGGCCCACTGGCACGGTTCCCACGATATCACAAGCACTGAAAATCGAGGATTACTATCTAGTATCTGCAAGGGCTTGCAACGAGTGCTAGGATCCTGCAAGTGAGCTGAGATCCGTGAAGAAAGATCACTTCCAGATCTTCTTTCCGTTTAATTATATAATTTGAGGTGACCATCGATAAATGTTCTTGTTGCAATGTTGTTGTGAATGCGCGCAATACGAGCTTATTTGTCTTTCCTTTCTCGAGCTTTCACCCTCACCATTGTCCGAGATTTCTGTCTCCCCTCATTCTCACCTCTATCGACCCATCAGTCATGGTTTTCGCGTCTCATGATGCATGAGCATTTGCAGCGTCGACTCCCTGTTGCCACTATAGTGTGTCTGAGTTTCAAACTCCGGTACCGGCAGGTGACATTGAGAGTGACACAAGCCATTGTCACCACCAAAAATGCATCTCTTTTGTTTCTTGTTATATCGCATCCGTTTAACCTCGTAGGGCGTTCTTATGATTTATAATTTCATATGCATGTATTAGCTTGAAGATTTGTAGCAGAAAAGTGTTGTTTTGAACGATGCACGAGGTGTAGGGAGTGCACGAACTAGTGTCAACTAATAGTACTGTTTTTCTCCGCCCCCGGGGGAGTTGACTTGACATTTTTTCATGGAGTTTGGTCAAGATTTCAGCCCCATGAGGAAAGTCGGTACTGCTAGCGCCAACGATCCTTCGAATAAGTATCGGAAAGTCTTTCGTGACAGTGGGAGTAGTGATATGCTGGAACAAAATCTCGACTTCCATCTCGAGAATGGCAGGAAACCTTCAGAAGACAGGTGGACATCCCAATGATAGAAAAAAGCACGACAAACTAACCTAGATGTCAGAGACGAAGAGAGTTCTTGTAGGACATTGTGTTCAGTCAGACTAGATCGTATCGCAGCAAGCGCTTTGATCTGCAATCCATCATGCTTTATCTGGTACAATGCCAAATATCAGCTCACGCGAATAGTATCAAAGGTTACACGATACGTACTTTACATGCCAGGCGATACATGGACTTCGGCGAGCATAATGGGGGCTCATTAAGGCTTGAATTTTTCGTTGTCGGACTTGCTTGTGATCGCAAAGGTGCGAAAGTGATCTCATCGGTGTACAAATAGTACAACAAAACCTGCCATCTATGTCAAGTAATAAACAAAAGACCCGGGCGCTAGGCTAGTAAAGCGCACGTCTTAAATGCAGTATCTGTTACCAATACTCTGCGGCCCGGAATAGTGCCATGTTGCATTTCTTGGGTATTGGAATCCTTGATCGATGGTGTTCGAGGCATTTGTTCCGCAGAGATGGTTGCGCGAAGTGCGAACTTTTCATCTTCAAAAGATCGACATAAAGTGATCCCTTTTCCAGTATAGATGAAGACACCTACTGTCTTGGACGGCTTCGTTGTTTCCTCCTTCTCTTCTTCTTCGTCGAGGTCACTATCGGACGCATAGCCATATTCATCGAGAGAAATCCCTCCTGACGATGCTGATCTTGGAATTCGAACCAGTTAGGATCATTTGGCGTTTCTTCTTCGGAAAGTACTGAATTGTCTGTTGGACTTGGCTGAGTGGTAACAGAGATGTAAAATGGCTCACAATCACCAAAATACCCTGAGCTCGCAGTGAGGGCTTCGTGGTAGGCAAACAGTGGTTGAAGCTTGGTAACATTGCCATCGGGCTTTGAACGAGTGGAGAACAGGTAGAATTGGGTGTTAAGAGGTTCCCCAATAAGCGATTTCCTCAACACACTGGTAGTGTTCATCCGCGCTTGGTCGCTTGACATTGTGTAAGTGTATGAAGGTGTATGCTGCTGAAAGAAGCTGAGAGAAGAAGGGTGGAATTTTCCCAGTATCCTGCGCAACGAGAAGCACTTCGTTGAATTGACTTTAAAAGGCCACTAACCATTAGTCAACCCACGCACGCAGCGCGTTGTCTTATCGATGAGATGAAGATCTTGAAACACGAGTCGGGAAACAGGGGGAATCAGGTTAAGCATGGCAATTGAGGTGTAAATCGTATGCAGGAATGATCTGGTCTACACATGTATATAATAAAAATGTAATAGCACCACAATCAGCATCATCGCGAGCAAGAACTCCCCGGCCCACTGGACGCTCAGGCTATCGAAGCAGCGGTTAGTGCCAGAGTCCGAGTCGGGACCAAAAACGTTGTTATGATCGTACTGCGTGCCAGGGTTGGCCTGAGGACCGGGTGGATATCCACCGGCACCTTTCAACCGAGCACACCTACATAAGTTTGACCGTCATGCAACATATGTGCCAGTTGAAACGTTGAAGGCCAAAACGTTGCAACGTTCCGATTATAAACCATCCGTAAAAGGTAACTCCCTCCCCAACATCACGAGTCCACAACCACCATCAACCTAGACCTCCTAGAAAAACCCTGACGATTCTGCGGCCTTCCGGACTACCGGGACTAATAAATCCTAGCACTATGGCACCTCATGATATAGCTGTTATCATTGCAGATTGGCATAGGCGCCCTTTGCATCACGCGCGATAAAGTGTTGATCCGAATGCATGTGGTCGTTGACTATACTTATATCCTTTCAACGATATAAGTACAAGTGATTTATCCCCACAATCGGCAGAACCACGCTCGCAATCAAGATGGCCACACCTGTCGACTATGGTGATTTGGAGTTCACTAGACCCGCCAAGCAGATCAAGGCCGTAAACTTGCCGGCAGTGCCGCAGCGTATTTTTGATGGTATGAAGCAGTATGAAGATGCTGCTCGAGGTGTGTGGCGGTTATATCCTTGGAAGTGCACTCTGATATATCTGGTTCGCAAGGTTTTGCAACCCTAGGTTTTGAGCGGACAGCCAAGGATGCCAATGGCAAAGAAATTCTAGGAGGCATCATCGTTGCGCACAGGCCTGCAGACGCCCAAGTCACTCAGCTGTATCGCATGCCAACAGATCCTTTCAGCACCGAGATGAGCCGGCTCACATACTTTGATATTGGTTCTGGCAGGACAATATCGGCGTTCCACGGAATTCTTGAGGATGACTGGCGGGGTGTGCGCAGACGTGGAGGAGCCATCATGGTTATGGATCTCAACGGAAATGAACATTTTCAGCTATGGCACGTACCACGTACAGCTTAAGATCCTGTCTGACCAAAATCGCAGGCGTTACTGGGAGGATTCTCTTGCCGACCAAGTTCTTCCGAAAGTACAAGGAGAGCTGGATAATGCGCCTGGCCTGGGACGCATCGAGAGACTGACCTACGATGACTATAGATACGGGTCAATTGTTATGTCTCAGACAAATAAGTATGTCTATCTTCGTTCGTTCAGTTCGTATCTGATCGAATCTCGTGGGACAGCCTTATGGCTTTTGCGTCGAACAAGGAGAACAACAAGGATACCCTAGTGTATGTTACCAGGCTGGTAGACTCCAATACGGGCGCAAAGGCAGACGCCTCCCCCTTCATTCTGCCCTCACGCTTGGTCGCACCAAGCACCGGGGAAGGCACGACCATGTACAGCCCGCAGAGCTTTTCCCTTGACGACAAGTATCTGTTGATCAGAAGGCAATATGGCTCGAGCTACAATGCTCTATATGCTGTCGACATCTCTGAAAAACAGGTGTTACCTCCCAAGCTAATCGAGTTCCCAGGAGCGACTGAGAAAGCAGAAGATAGCACGTTTTACGATGTTGCATTCTCCCACAACGTTAATCTACCCCACTTGATCTACTGCACCACGAATGGCTACGGTGATTTTGCCTCAATCGTCACTTACGACCTTGACACGGCATCGGTCACCCACATCACCACTTCCGGTGCCGCAATTCAAGCTATACGACCAATTTTGTGGGAAATTGAAGACCTCAAGGTCACTAGCGACAATATCGTATTCACTGTCAATGTCGAGGGATGGACCTCCCTCTTTTTCATGCCTCTATCTGGGTCTCACAAGAACACGGTGATTGAGGTCAAGGTCGCCTGGGAAAGGGGTTGGCTCACCTTCCAAACGAATGACCTCAATGACAAGCCGTACGAATTAACGCTGCATCTCACATCATACCACTCCAGAGGGCGAATCACCTACTTGGATCTTCTTCCGTTGTTGAACAATGTCAAGAAAGATGAAAATGGAAACGCCTACGTGCTCGCTTCTGTCTTACCATATGTACAGGCAGCCCCACCTACGGTGGCACATGAAGTTCCGCCCACTCTCATCAGATATAAGAGCTTCGATGGCTTGGAAGTCCCTGCCATATATTACCGCCCGGCCGGCCAATCAGTGACTCCAGTCATTATTCACATTCACGGTGGCCCGGAATCTCAAGCTACCGCCAATTACCGCACGTTAGTCATGTTTTTTCCTCAGCGCAAACTGTAGGCTGACGGACTTCCGCAGGCCTACGCATAGTTACCTGTTGAACGAGCTGAAAATTGCGGTTATCTACCCCAATGTGCGCGGAAGTTCGGGATATGGCAAGAAGTACATGGCCGCGGATGATATTTTGAAGCGCGAAGATTCTGTCAAGTACGGTATATCTACACCTTCTCGGGGACAGATGACTCATGTTTCCTAAGGGACATTGGAGCGTTACTCGACCACATTGCATCCAACATGCAGAATGAATTGGATTCATCCCGCATTGCTGTAGCAGGCGGATCCTGTGAGTAGCCTTCTGATGATCCCTACCAAAAAATTGACCCTCGCCGTTTGAAGATGGTGGATATATGTCCTTGGTGCGATACATCTATCTTTTCAATAAGCACATCGTTCTCACATCCAAGCACTGCATGTAGGCGACTCTGACATATTACTCCTCAAAGCTCGCCTGTGGCATCGAAAACTTTGGAATCGGGCACTGGCCTTCATTCTTGGAGAATACTGCGGCAGTCCGGCGAGCAGCACGCAGACGCGAGTATGGTGACGAGACCATCCCAGAAATCAGAGAGTTCCTTGACAGGATCTCGCCGATCAATAACGCCTCGAAGATCACGATACCCCTCTTGATCACCCATGGCGAGAACGATACTCGAGTGACTGTGCATGAGGCTGTTAGCATGTACAAAGTTGTGTCAAAGAATGTGCATACCGAGCTCATCATTTGCGAAATGGAGGGCCATGGTATGTCTTTTCGCATATGTCGTGTGATGATGCTGATGAGTGATGTCTTTTGTAGGATACAAACAGAAGAGCGTGATCGAGTTCACTAATGCCGCTGACATCTTATTCTTGGAAAGATACCTCCTTTCTAAGTGAAATCTGTAGATTTCGCCACGCTCGAATACTTGCATGTTCTTTTTTCTAACACACGGTACCATCAATGGTACGAGCAAAACTTAAGAGTGACTTTGCGAACGACGAAACTGAGGCGAAGAAGGAACGAAGCAAATTCGACCAGGCTTGCAGCCAAAAATACTGGGCGAGCAGTCATGGAAGTCTTGTTTGCGCCGATTAATTGCGACCGTGATGACTGAGAAGCGGGCAAGTTACATGATACCCCTGAGAGAGTACTCAGGCAAACCCTTCCAGCGATGAAACGTGATACAGGCTGCAAGTGGAAGGAGAAAAAGCTCGGGAGCACCGTTGAGACCCCTCCGACTCGCGCTGATGTTTTGGTCAATGGGATGGTTCGAGCAGTAACTTACTTATTCCCGTAGATGGCATTGAGCCATCAGCGAACTGCAATACACGGTATCCGTGAGGCGCACTCGTTCAGAATAATGCATCATGGGAGCCCATGATATTGAGGTATTGCTCGAATGAAGTGATAACCAAAAGTGACGAACGGCCAAACATTCACTATTCCTGCTTACCGTAGTGTCGTTGTGGCCATGGATTTTGAAGAAGAATAGTGATACAATGCCGCATAAAATCATCCAGTCTGCACTATTATCACTAGAGATGAAGAGTGCAAGTGAAGTATCTAGTTTTTCCGGCGGAATGAGCAACCTGCGAAAGGTTAATGCATTAAAAAACGTCGCAATTGGATAACATACCCTCAGTCAGTCTTGCCTTACCACCCGTAGGTTGGCAGAGGACACTTGCACACGAGCCACAAAGAACTACTGATTGTGCATGAGAGAATACAGTGGTGATAGCAAAGCATCCTAAAACAAATAGCCGGGTGAGATGAATGGTGTCGGGTTTGGCTCGACGGGACGCACCTGGGCATTTTACGTCCATGAAGTATGAGTTAGGGGATTGCACGAGACGCTTGAGCTTGTGCTGCTTGCGTTCATGTTCTGCAGAGGGGTTCAATAGATCGACAGCGAGAGTCTAAACAAGGTTCTGTGAGGATTTCGGACAAGTAGAACGGACTGCACCATACCATTTTGACGAGCTTTTGGTGTTTTCGTTGTCAAAGTTATCGAGCGATACGCTGACTCAAAACTTGATGATATGCCTGGTAGGGACTTAAGGTTTGAGCGGAGATTGAACAAGCTTTCGGGATTACCCGCACTATGTCGGGTCAACTGTTCTGAATCTGAATTCAATCCAATCTCATGATAATTGTTCCTATACCCAAATTTAAAGAACATCAGCGCTTGAATGTTCTGACAAGGACCAGGGAGATGATGCGATATAAAACAATAATATAACACTCAGGCTATCATTGGGATATCAAGACGTTAACCTGTTTTGTGCAACTTTTTGTATCATCGTAACTCACATGGTCTTTTTGTTCTCGCTTCGTGACCGTTTACGGAGGATGCTCTGCTGGTAGCGTGGCTTTTAATTTGTTTCATTATGGCTGCGCCTGGAACGCATATAACTCAAAGGTCAGCGGACCAGTTACCTCCCATACTATCCTTCCGGGTTTTGACAATCCACACACAGCCAGGTTCGTTATCTCTGTTGACTTCCGTTGCGTTCCGCTAACATGCTTTATGTCCCCTTCTTCATCTAGTCTGTTAATTAGTGAGCTCGCTTTTTTCCCTTCCGAGGGTCTCGTTTGACATTAATATCAATTCAGACGTTTCGGTCTTCTGCTCAGATTCAATCTCGTCGTCTTAATCAAAACTCAGGACTGCCGAGACTACATCGTATTCTCACGTATCCTTTCAGCGCGTTTCATCTATCATCGCAGGTCGATTTCTGTTATTACCACCTAGTCAATCTTTCCAATCACTTTCTCGTCGTTGGCTGTTATTATGACTGCTACATCCAGCCTTTCCATTACTCTTGCTCAGGCTATCACTTATCTCACTCGACCTCTTACCGTTACGCACCCTGCTGCGACCATGAACAAGCTTCAGTCTGTGCTTGAGGCGAACTTGACTGCACTGTTCGCCCCGACATGGACCCCCAAGGAACCACTTCGTGGTTCCGACCAGCGTTGCCTCACTCTCTCCCCTAATTGCCTCCCTCCACGTGCCATATATACCGCATGCCTTGCATCCAGTGTTCATTGGTTCGACTGGATTGCAGCCTTGGGCGGACGTGAGTTCGACTTCCATGTCGATCCAGGATGCATCTCTGTGCAGTTCGGGAGGGGTACCAAACTCATTACGATCTGGGCGGGGGAGCCGATGGCTAAGGCTGTGTCTGTCGTGCACCATACGCCTTTTAGCCAGCTGCCACCCAACAACTCAAGGTCTAAGACACTTGCCCAGCAGCTCTGGGAAAATGACCGCACAGAAGATGAAGAACTTTTTGCCCTGATCGCTGACGAAATCAATGCACCCACTTGGATGACCCCTGTTGTTAACCGTTTCCCTGCTCCTGCACGTTCTGAATCGCCTCTTTCTGCTGTATCTACCGATTCGTGCTCGAGCTACTGCTCGTCTGACTTGTGCTTCTGTTTCTCTGCCACGGCTACCTCGTCTAAGAAGAGCAACAAGCAGTCATCCCAACTTACGCGCCGCGAGAAGGCAAGGCGGGCTTGTGTCTTTGTAGACACCTCCAAGACTGAAGTTACCCCCTACGACGGTGGCAAGACCACTGTCCTGACCGGTGGTGTGATGCTGGGAGCTGTACCTCCCAAGGGCAAGAGCCGCCCGTCTACTTCTTGGCGTCGCACGTAAACGGCCATGCCCCCCTTGATCACCCGTTGCCGATGAACATTCCCATGGGCCATGGGATCGCACTATGCGTTTCCCTATACACCCATTCACGCCCCGCACACCCAACGAAAGACAATCCGGACAAACTTCACGACCCACTACCATACCATATCATTTAACGTCTACTATAACATCTGTACTGCATTTATTGCTTTGTTTTCGCAATCCTGATTCAGACCCAGGGTGTATCACTTTCATTCGCTATCGACTTGCTGTGTTAGCTTGCCATTGACAGTCTTCGAGAAGTCCGGGCATTGAACATATGACATGCATACCCGATAACCTGTAATACGCAAGCGGCTTCCCCCCCTCTGTTGAGCCTGCACATGATGCCGTGCATTAGATACGACGGATCATAACACTAAGTCTGTAAGGGGTATCTTGTTCGTTCGATCATAAGACTCAGTGGATATAGCGAATAATCATGTATAGTAGTAACGGAAAACAAGAGAAACAAAAGGCGCACATTGTTTTGCCGTCACTGGACGCAGCGCACGTTTGGCTAATTCCAATGCTTGTTGCTGCTATTCAAGTTGGCCTTGAGTGCACGTTGGGGTTAACATCCCTGGACGGTGTGGTCCTCCGCAATACGAGGCGAAGGATATTAATGAGTGGACGACTAAGGACTGAAATTTGAAACTCCGTAATGAAGGCGAAGAAAGGACTTCTAGAATGATGTGTCGCGGCAATAAACAGTGCTTGACCTCTCGCCCTACTAGTAGAACTTTTGGTAGACAACATAATGAGAGCTATAACTCTGGTACAGCTCCCCCCAGAGCTTTTGTTCCTTATACTGGTACCTCTCGACGCGCACGACCTAGTACGGGTACGAAAGGTAAGTGAACACATGACTCTTCTCACTATGCTGACATCCACCATAGACGTGCAAAACGCTGAAAGAAACGGTCGACCATTCGGAGATGCTGCAATATATCATCGACCTCGGTTACTTCCAAATGGAAGCCTCTGAAATGGACGTGCCGCCAGCTACACGCCGAGAACGACTTAGACAGCATGACGCTGCATGGCAACGCTTCGAATACAAGCAGAAGTACACGCTCCCAGCAGTGATGGTGGGACCTCTATCTGATATCTTGGGTGGTGTATATGGCTCTGCTGGATCGAAGGACTGCATTATCTTTGCTTGTATGCCGTTCGGGACTGACTCCAGTGATCTACATAGCTGGAATTGCCCTGTTGATGCTACGACCTTGATGGACTTTACTTTCTGTCCAGCGCAAGATCTACTTGTTGTAGTGGCACTTTCACCAGACTCGTGAGTGTTTACACTCTTTTACTCAGTCCATGCTAAACTGTGCGGGAAGCTTGACTTATGCATACGATATCCATCTGAGGTCACTGACAACGAACGACGCCCACCCTGATGCAGCACAACCAATCCTGAAGGCACTCGACACGGATACCATTGGCCACGCAATACCCCAATCCACCAGTGCGGAAGTCCATATCATGGGGAGCTACGTTATCGTGCTATTGTGGAATGTCGTGGTAAAGGAGAGAGACTGTATGCAAATGTGGGACTGGAAATCCAAGAATGGTTACCAGGTAAATAAGTGTTTCAAGTTAACTCGGCTAGAGACTCACTGATACCACAGTTCAGTCTTTTGTTCAATGATGGTATCCACGACTGGTCATTCATTGCAGAAGATCAGTTCCTCGTCCTTGATATCCACGGGATCATGGAAATATATTCCATTGCCGACAAGTCAAAGCCCCCTCGATGCACCGCGAAACTCTCATTACCTTCTCTCATGGATCACTTTTCATACACAGAGGTATCCGTAGGTAAAAATATTACTTCTGGCTCCATGCTTTCCCATCCTCGAAGATCCTACCAACCTCCATGCCCATTTCACCCGAGTACGAGTGATCAACTCATAGTCATCCATGTCGGTGTTGAATTCAGAAACGAATTGTTCCGCTATAGCTTCTTTACCCTGCGTAGTGCCATCCTGGAACTCGAAAGCTTATTTTGCAGGACCTACGGCCAACCGACCTTGAATGGTCCCAAATTGCTTTGGTCGATGTGGGGGCCGCGGTATACGACGTGGTTCCGTGCTACGAAATTACGCATAAATGACATGGACTGGGTGTCTTCACTCTATGGTTTCCGCGTTGTGGATCCCCTCGACAACAGCGCTTCTGATGCACCACTCGAACCCCGACGGCTACGTATCAGAGATTTTAACCCACACATCGCTCGGCATTATCACGCACAAGATAAACCAGACTACCGCGGTCGACTTGTACAAGGCGAGCTAACTAACACGATTTCTCGCCCATTTACGGAACCGCTAGGATCTGCACTACCGTATCACGAGATCGTTAGCGAGGGGTTGTTTTATGCGGATACTGCTCATATGGACGAAAGTAGGATTATGTTAGTGAAAGTGAGTCGCGACTTATCATTGATTCCCTCTGCTTACAATGAATTGCGGTAGAGAGATAGAAGAGGTCAACAAATCGATATATTGGTATTCTGACTAGTTCCTAATGTTGACGCCTTGGGAAGTATGGTCCTCAGGCGGCCACTTAATGCTGCATTACCTAGATCTGTGTCCTACATATGATTGTCGTATGCTGCCATTCCAAGTCATAACGTGTGGAAGAAGACTCATGCTGAGTTGCGCCCAAGGGGCCACACTGGGTGCTACATAAGTCGCTCTGCCAGGTTTTGCGTAGTGCCTGAGATGCATCACTGAAGTACTGATTCCCTGGCTAAGCGCGCCCGCTGTGGCCATATTCATCAGTCAATTAGTGTTATGTAATCCAGAATCACGGAGGCTCCTCCGACATTTTTAGCCTGGACTTTGATTCTGGCCAACGAAGTGATTATAGTCATTATACCAACTGCAAGCGATCCTTGCGCCAACATGGCGAGACCTCACGAAGAACTCTACGAATTGTGCGATTGCCTACGCTCTGTTAGCGTTGGGCTAGACTCATACGAGCCTGAATCCCAAGACCTGCCAATCATCGACTCATCAGAAGAAATGGGTGAAATTGGTGTAGTAAAGACTCAGAATCGAGAAGTATTACCTGGGTTACGGTTTCTACGAGAAGAGGTGAAACGGGACCTGCAAGTTCTCCAAAAGGTGTGTCCAGTCCACCGTAAGGATACTTTGTTCATTCAATAATTCTAATCGATCATGATGTGCAGTAGTTTCTCGATGACCCAGAATCAACATCTCTTCCTCCTCTCTCGACCAATGCACCATATCTCGTTGCAGTATGGCAGGAACTGCTTCAGGCTCGCGGAGCTGTTGCTATATATCGGACATTCCACACCACCGCTCATCCTCAGGCCTCCCGTAAGCCCAAGAATGGCTCAGCCAAAGAGCATGGCGTCAAGGTCGATGTGGTCGCTGACAACGGGAGACGTTGGATCAGAGTCAATACGTAAGTTCATCCAACATTTCACCTAGAATAACTCTGGACGAATTTCCAGGATAAAGAACAGTCGCATTTTAATGGAGTTTCGCGAAATGGACTCGTATCTTACCAGCTCTGACGAGGACGACGGCGATGGGCACTCTCCGCTCAAGAAGGAAAATTTGATATCCCAAGAGTTTGACAATTCCGTGCTGCGCATGGGTCGTGAACTTCTGGAGGCTGCAAGGGCAAACCCTCATGGTTTCAACGAGATTCCTTCAGTTACAATGCGTCTAACCCGACTGGATCCTTCCCTCTCCGACACCAACCACGAAACGAGTGATCCCAGAATCGCTTACACAATCGACTGTCTCCAGAGAATGGGCATAGATGTCCAATTAGGCGAAAGGCAGGACATCGTAGAGGAGATGGAAAACACTTCTGCGCAGCCAATAATTTTCGAGCCCACCACTCATATCAACCTCGATCTCTCAGCATTGATAGCGCTTATATCCGATACCACTCACTCTCATCTGCCTCGTGATCCAGAAGATGCCAACGCACGATTCATCCCGCCCCAACGATATGTAGAATGGAAAAAGCAGCGAGTACGAATGCTTTCCGATTCTCCAGATGCAACAAGCACATGGGAGGACTCCGGAATTCACTCAAAAGTGTTGGCAGACCAAGCCCATCAAGAGATGAAGAAGGGCCTCTTGCAAGATATGCACGATCGCTTGAGATCCATCTCCCCTGATCTGCAAAATATCCAATTCTGGACAACACAAGAGGCTCGCCAACGTTGTCTCCAGATCGTATTCAAGATCGCGGGCACGAGAGAACGTCAGCGCGCCGAAGCACTGCTCTCTTGTTCTATATGTTCTCAAACGACTGCCATACCCACCCATAATCAATTCTGGGTGCATTCACGATACCCGTCTAATTTCATTCCATTGATGCCTGTCAGGTTGTACCCATCTTCAGAGCCCGATACCACTTCTCTCGGGTCCTTTCAATCAAATCCTTCATCACCTTTCATGACGTCCCTTGCCTCGACCTGTTGGAATATACTATCCCAAGAAGATATCTCGAGACTTCGGGAATCACAAAGTCCGCCTAGCCACTCAGCTGCGCCTTACTTAAGTAACGACGAGGGTGAGATCCCACCGGCAGCAGTTACTTTGGCAAACCCAAAGCTCACGGTCCACACGGTCCAAAGTATGCTTTGGGGCGCAGCACTTGGATGGACGACATTGACCACAAATAGATCCAGTGTGAAAGTGCTCCTCAAAGAGATGAAACGATCCACTGGAGGTAGCGCGTTGACCTACGAGTTCCCTGATGGAGACGAGACCGCTCGCGCGTCCAAAGCCGCAATCTGGATAGTGAAACCACGGAGCTTAGCTGAAGGATCACGATCAGATTGCTGTAGCGAGTGATTTCAGTGGGGGGAAACGGTTTAGCGCGGGTTTCTATGAATAACGACACAGTCCTCGATGGAAACCAATCGGAAGTAAAACTAGAACTACATGTACGGCCACAGAAAGCTTAGAGATCCAAGGTAAGTGGCTGAAAGTTGAAGGGACGATTTACGATAGAATATAGCATGATGACCGTCAGATAGTAGTAGGAAATAAGTCCTAGTAAATTCATAATTGAGATGTTCTCATGCAAAGGGCCGCGCCGTCACAGGCGTCACAGGTCGTGCTGTGAGCGGTGTAGTGGGCCGCGAGAGCTCGGAAGCAGCTGTCTCAAAGGATGTCACCGAACTTGAGCGCGAGTCGTCCGATGGTAGCGGCGAGCGTGATGACGAAGATAGTTCGAATTTTGTCTCAACTCCGGATGGGGAAGATGGAGGTGATCCGGATATGATAGAACCTGAGGTTGATTGTCCAGCCTCATCCGCAGCAGCACTATTATAGACGAGGGCTTCCTGTTGTTTCTCTCTCTGGTACACTGGTACTAGACGGGTTGTCAAGGTCAGCTGATGGTGACCCACTGGCTTGACCTGGCGAACTTGATACAGTGGCGTCGAAGTCAGGTGGTGGTGCCATATTAGACCTTGACGCTGAAAATGCTACAGCGTCCGGACCGTATGGAACACCGAATCTTTCCAGTGCATTCCTGGAGGTGATGAGTTTGATCTGCTCAGGCGTCATGCCACCTTTCGGCACCCGGAACTCCGAGCGTACAACAGTATGCGTGAGAGGTGCCGATATTGAGTTCAAAGAGATGGTTGACGGGGATGTCATAGGTACGGAATGGTCGTGGGGTCGGAAAGCCTTCAAAAGCGTCGAATGAGAGCCTGAACGGTTGCGCCCATGTCCACTAATTGTTGATGCCACGGAGAGGGATGAACCGTTGCGAGCGTGGTCAGGAGTGGCAGCCCTGTTATAGATCGAAATAGGCGGATTTCGTGACGGACTCCCGAAGGGGTTGAAAAGGAAGCTGAATCTAGAACGCCGGCCAGGGGCAGCATCATCGATGGTAGAAGCCTCCGATGCAGAAGGCTCATTAGGTAATGTGTTGGGAGTGTCGTGGCCTACAACCTCAAAGTACGGGGGCGCTTCTCCTCGTGGGTCTTCGGACGTTTGTGTAGTGTGCAATGGTAACAATCCAGAATGACTTTCTTGCGAGTCATGCGATGTGCTCACGCTAGCGACGTCTACGCTTCGTCTCATTGTTACGTCAACAGGGGCGTTATATATGAGATTTGTGGAAGAGTTATCCGCCTGTGTGATACCGTGCGACTCGAGGTCAAGACTACGATGTGCCCCTCTTGATTCAGGGTGCTCGTCGTCGTCTTCTTCTTCCGGTAGTTGCATAGGATCGTGGTCGTCATCCATCTTCAAAGGTCCTCTGTGATATTCAGGGTGTCAAAAATGTGGGTGCTACAGGTACGTAAGTATGCACACCTGTAGATGACAAGTTCCTGGTCGCCCGGTTCCAGCATGTAGGGTGGAAGGGATTTTGTAGAAATCTGACTTGGAGTCCGTGCGGGCCTCCGGCGCCTTGCAGGGCGAGCTGAGGCTCCCTGACCAGCAGGTTGGTTCCGAGTGCTCGCTGCGGCGTTTGCGTTGACTTCTACCCGCGTAGCCCGTCTGACGCATCCAATCAATGTCATCACGGCGACGACGACTCCAATTATCAATACAGGTATCTAGATAATTGGTTCTCCGGTTTAAGCATGGCTAACGTTGGGGCTCGACGATGGACAGTACGCACCCATACGGTTGTAGAAACGCCATTCCCGTCACTTGTCCCTTGATTGTTATCGCGTCGCAGCACTTCGCTTGTTGGTCTTGCAGATACAAATTGGGGGTATCGCACGACCAAAAGGGCCAGCCAGAAGAACGTGCGGATACAGAACAAAGTTGGAGCAGATGAGAACATACCGCGGCCAAGGAGGTTACTCAGTGTGGTGTCGTGAAGAAGTCGTTAAATTATGAATAGCATGCAGTGCGCAGCGCTACTGAAACGTGCTGCCAGTGGATCCGGAGGGTGTTTTTGAAGCGAGCAAGTTTTATTTAATGATAATGAAGTGGTAGTAAGAAGCAGATCCATCATTCCAGTAAAGTTTGCACTATATCCACGCCGAGGCTGTACAAGCGCCCGTGCTAGGTCCAAGTCCCACCAATAATGGTCTCCAATGATCCTACCGACGGTCGCATTGCCTAGTTGATGATAATACTCACTTCATGCCCTAAAAAAGAACCTGTCTCAAGGGTGGTTTACACAGTGGACAGGATCTCCCTCCCACCGGAACAACCGTTGGATGCCATAAGTTAACGTACGTTAATATTTAAGATCGACTAGTTCGACTGTTTGGTCGTCTCCGTCGTGGTAAGTGCACTCGTCAAACGACGAGTCTGCGTGATCACATCAAACGATTATATTCATTCGTCAATAAAGCTTTAAAGGACTGTCTAGGGGAGACTATGATTCCGACCATTTCATTAAAGTACGCCCTGAAACTTGACTTTGAGATCCATTGGAAATTTACTCAGTTTAGCAGTTTCGCAATAGTAGTTGGAGCCTTTGAATGGAGCATTGCAAGACAGCATTGCGAGGATAGGCCAATTGTCTCCAATTGTTCCTCTTTCTCCGCTATTTCGGGCTGATGGTCTTCTTCTCTACCAGTGCAGTGTAAAACACCGCCCTGAGTTATCAGGGACATCCACATGGTCCGTGACCGCAGTTGAACGTCCAATACTCGATTTGATGCTAAAAGAATGAGGTAAAATTTCCTACCAATTACTCTAATTCCCGCACGACTCATTCACGGTTTCCTCGAGTTGGCGTAGCAGGGACGTCTGCGGTTTTGCAAGCACCAAATGCCATGGGTGCGATCGAGAATGTGGCATGTGTTAGCAGGGTAGGCGTCATAGCATTGATCAATCATTATGTATCTGATGCAGCGCCTAGTGGCAGACACGGTTACATGCAACAGCATGTATCAACTTGCATTTCAGCAGGACCCAAAAGACGGACCCGATGATCGGGCTGAACATGAAATTCAACCTGATCACTCACCGTAGATGTATGGCGGACACAAGATGATTCTGATACAAAAATGTGAAAATCAGTATGGTACAGTCGAGGCTGTCGTGGGACCCACTTTGAATCTCATGTGAATACGCGCCGCATTACACATCGCCCTTGCTTGAAGTGCATAGCTATTAGCATACAGTGCCTGGAAGTGGTCGAGTGATACATATGGTGATATTAATGGCAATCAGCAACGCGTGCCAAAGGCTATGATACCACAAGCGCCCGCCGCAAAGACCTGCCCTTATCATTCTGTTATTCTAGAACAATATTTTAGGCTCACAAGAGAAATTGAAACACAACAAAAGAATGTCAGTTGACGGATTGTTGCAGGTGTTTCAAGTTTTGTTTCCTGTATTGGTCAATACGCCTAGCCGAATTCAAATATTACCGCACAAGACACTGCCCCGCAGTCCGTACCTTCGCTCAACAAAGAGCTACTAGAGGAAAATCATCGTGATGTGACTTCAACAATGTTCCGAAAGACTTACTTCTGCTAAACATCGGCTTACCAGATGCCCAGCAAAGCGATTCACCAGATGAGTTAGCAGGTCTTTGCCATACTCGCACTTCCGAATGAGGGTGTAACTGAATCTTTGAATGTAACGCGTACTTCTTTCTCCGCCTAACCCTCCCAGCACCGAAAAAAAAAGGAAATCATCAAGCGACAAGCCGCTGGATGTCTTGCCCCTGTTCTGAGGCATCCACTGAGAATGCGGGGTCCACGAGCAGTGAGATCTCTGGCAGCAGACAGGAAGTGGGTACTAACAATATGATTGCCGTTCAACAGCTCGTCCGGAGGAGAGGACGGCAATGAGGGCTTTTCTAATCTCCGTCGCGCGTGCGAAATAGCAGGAATTGCATGGGTTGACTGTCATCCACCGGGGAATCGCCGGCTCAAAATAATATATCAAAGTCATGCTAGTGATTGTCCGAGAGAGGAAGCAGGAGTATCAAGTACCCCGTTACTATGACTCCGAGCTTGCTCGTGTCACACAGATAAAAAGTCTGAGCGACTGACTTTGTATGATAGTGTAATCTAAAGGGACAAATGTTAGATAGTATGATATTGGGATCTGGCGCGGTTTAATTACTACTCCGAAGATAAAATGGGTCTAGAGAATAGCACTTGGGAGATCAGGGGATCCATAAACACAAACCTTCAGCCGAAAGGAAGCGTGAATACAGACCGAAACGCGAAAGAGTGGGGAGGACAAGCGACGCGTAAATGAGGATGGGCGCAGGGGAGCTATAGAAATATTCAAAGAACGTGTTGTCGAGTTTGAATGCCGCAGGTCCAGACGTGCGCATAATTCACTAGCAGAGAAGCACACACGAAGAGGATCTCCTTGTGACCGTTCAAAAGGGCTGTTTCGCGCGTCGCGCGACGCCCGTGATCCACTCGGAAAGGCTATCTCTTTAGCCATATGTGGGGCACGGTTTGCATTTTCCCTCATCGTCACGGTTTCCCTTTCACCCGGTCACCCTAGAACATCCGCCCACTTTGATGACGCACCCGTAGATCCACTCCAAACGCAATGCGGCAAATTAATGACGTAAAAGGTGTGGTCCGATTGAGGCCATGATATAGAACGAATGACTGTTCCCCTTCTCTTTTGTTAGACTGAGGCTGTCGTTGCACTATCGAGGTAAATCCGTGCGACCTCAGGTGAGTGCGTGGTCGCATCGAGATCTATTCAGCTTGAATTAGCATGCAGTGCACAGCTGCGCTATTCGTGCCTGACCCTGCTGGAACAAGGAAGTGGCGGTCAAGCAATACCCACGCAATCAAGCAGCAGTCAACTCACACAGAAGGTTAGGTCAAAAGAATGCCGTCGTAAAGATGACACGCCCTTGTCATTCCACAAGACTATTGTATACACATAAGCGAAAGTCAAATGTGTCAATGTCAGCTGTCTATGTCTGTTTCAGGTATTGCTTGTTTCCTGTCCATTGTTGGTACAACCCTAGGTGAATTCAATATCACTGCAAAGGATATCATAGGTATGCTCTACTCCGTCTCCCGTACTTCTTCTCCAGGAAAGCTGATATTTCTTGGGCTGGGGGAAAATCATGACGTGAACGTTGTTGTAGAAAACGAAAAATCACTTACCGAGCTCCACTGGTGATTCGTGTGGGATCTAAGTGACAGCCGCCTCAATCAGACTTGGACATGGACACAAAACATCTGCTTACCAGATGCCCAGCAAAGTGAAATACCACGTTGGATGAGTTAGCAGGTCTTCGCCACACTCGCACCCTCGTTGCTTTTTCGCCCCCGAGTCTGAAACGAACGTCAGTAGAGCAGAGTTTATGGCTGGGGGTAACGCACCCCTTGTCTTCGGGCTTCCCTGGAACAATCCAACGTAGTTCTATTCGCTCGTCCACCTTTTCCAGTAGTTGCCATGCTTCATTTGATCCTATACGATCTACGAACACCAAAGCCTCGTGTAGACCTGACATCTTTAGCTTCACGCCCCCTTGTGAATCCTCGCACAAGCCATATGTAATATATAGCTGCAGGGTATCAGGATGCCACGCTCTGAAGAATGGAGAGGCCTTGAACGAGCGTAATGCCTCCTCACTTGTGACATTACTTAAATACTTAGAAGTCACTGACACGAAATAATGACTCACCGTGATGGCCAACGTTCACGCCTAGCAAGGGCAGCGGAAATGAGCCTAAGTAAATTGGAGGAGTAGTGGAGACTGCTAGCAGCTACAGGGTCTATAAGAATTATGGAGGAGAACACTGCAGGGAAGTTGACAGCTGCTAGTATCCTGCATCAATATTGTCAATATTGATCAGAGTAAAACGCTAGCGATGACAACATACGAAGAGCAGCCGCCGAATGAATGTCCAACGGCGACCAGGGAGCGGGATGAAAATCCCTTAGTCTTCCTGGATTCACGGATAGTCTCCGGCAGAAGTTGTAGATGCGTCGGTAAAATCTTTGAAGATGTATCTTCCGGTAGATAGTATAACAGAAAGTGTGCAATGTCCCGCGCGTTGTCTCGCCAATCAACTAGAAACGAAGGTTAACCTCAGCCTATGGATGAAGTGCGCGGGGTGTCTCACATATGCCACTGAGATTTGTCTCGTTGACAACTGCAGCATCACCGTGCTGAACGGCTTCCCAAGACCACACCTCGTCAATCAGTGAAGCTGTGGATGACGATAATAGATATCGCAGGGTTGCTTCCCATATCTATAACACATTCAATGGCTGTTCTTGGACACACGAATTGTGTCAAATAAATGAGTACCTCCTTGGGAAAACCAATTGCGTGAGCGAATAACAGTGTCAAGCCCTTCCTCCCATCTTGAACTCTCTTGACATATCGGTTAACACAATTCCATAACGGCCGCTCGCTTCTTTCTCCACCTAACTTTCCCTGCACGAAGCGCTCTTGTCGCTCCCTAAGTTCAGTGGAAAGCTGCTGGATATCTCGTTTCCGTTCCGCGGCATTTGTTGTGAATTTAGGGACCACAGGCAATGGGATATCCGGAGTGAGCCTTGGACAACCAGCAGGTACGAGGTGGGTGCTAACGATATAATTGTCATTGAATGGCTCGTTTCGAGGCGACGGTAATGAAGGCGCTTCCAATTCTTCGCTACCGTAACGCGTGCGAAAAGGCGAGAATGGCTTAGGGTTCACAGTCGTCCACGGCGGACTAGGTTCAAAAGGGTATGTCGAGGTCATGTTGGCGGGCATCTGAGTCGTTCGTTCGAAGCGGCTTGACCTGGGCTAAGAACATTGATCAACGACCGATGACCGCACTAGTTGACATCCGGGGTGAGCGTGGAATCACGGAATAATTGGTTGGAATCCGTATCTTCGCCGACGCCAGGCTACTTCGTTAGAAACCACATCTGAAAAACACCCAACTTCTCGCTTAAGCAGCTTAAGCTGCCAAAGAAGTTTGATGGGTTACGACCTGCACCTTGAAGCATCCGGTTGGTTGGAGATGGCTTATAATGAGGTAAAGTCGCAGAGATCTAAGGTAGGGCTCATGCAGGATCAACTAATGCCACCTGACCAAAAGTGACTACACCGAAAATCGTTACAAACGTTGTCACGACCCAAAAATAGGATTGTGACACATGTACATAGGGTTATGGTTAACAGAAGGATTTCCGGAAATGTTGCGTAGACAATGAACCAAATATAACCTTGATGCCAACCTTCCTGGGTACTGCTGACAGCCGAGCCAACGTTCGCACAAGGTCTGCGCAAGGGACGAGCAACCAAGGAAGTGAAATGACACCACAATATTAGCACCGTAACATGTAAGCAACATTAACATCAGCTCCCATCGACACTTCATCGCCATTGCATGTATACCACGGTGACAACAAAATTCAACCAATATCAGCATGACGTGGTGGATGCCATTGCCAGCGGTATCTCATGCCTATATATGTTGTAGATAGGCTTGCAGTGACAGCGCAAAATATGGGAGCAATCCATCATTATTATCACAGTGTATCTAAAGTATAGTAGGACATGACAGAACAATCACCAAATAAGTTTGCTATGAATTGTCTTTTGCCAGTCCACAGTCACGGAGTTGAGGGATGGAGCAAGGGACATTGTACTCGGGTATTTTCATAAGTCAGCTTGGAGGACCTCTGTAAAAAATCTATACAAATCAATGATGAGATCAAATTAACGGAGAAGCAGTGAAATGCACTTTTTAGTGAATTCTTCGGCTGCCTGAGTCATAGATGTATTCTTCTTAGCATCGTCCCTGAGCTCATCTAGAAGAATGTCAATATAGCTCCAGTATTGATTGAACGTCCAAGTGCACTGTGTGGTCACTGAAGGACTGGGATCGCCATTGTCGCCCTCCGCATCTGCTGGCACATGTACATGGTCATTGTTCGAAGTGACTTCCTCTTGAAGCTTTGCACTCTCTGCAACAACAGTCCGGAATTGAATCAGCGAAGAACACTAGATTGGAGTGAGCGCAAAACATGGTGGAGTCATGAATTGACTTACCAGAAAGGCCACATGAGACCAGTGTGCTGAAGTAATCTCAGTACAGTTACCCGATAATGACCGACAGAGTGCATGAATATTTGATTCTCTATCAGCGGAAGTGACGATCTGTGTTCGAAGCATTAAAAATATAATGACAGCTCAGGAATTGACAAACCTTTTGTTTCATGCTTCCATGCTGCTGCATAAACAGTTCCTTAATCATCGAGTCCAACTTATTCATGAGCTCAAGATCCTGTAGGGTGACAAGGGGTATCTTGAACACAGAAGGGTGTTTCTTTACAAATTCCTGAAAGATTGTTAATTTTTATTTCAGATAAGAATAAAGAACTCACAAAGAGATTCTGAGACAATAAGCAGGCACGAAGCCTGTCGGTGAGTGATTGCTTGAAGCAATGTAAGAGTATAGTAAACATAGGAGAGTCGGACCTGTACCTTGAATTCCGCTGAGCTAACGAGCTCATGAGCATCATCTCTCGCCTTTCATTTGTCTAGGACAATGAGATGTCCCATGACATTTAGTAGCATCTCCTTTTTGGTTTTCTGCATGATTGAAGATAAGAACTACTTATACTGTACATCCTGATGACTTACTGTAGCAAATTGATCTAATGCATCATTGAGTAATCCATTAGTCCTGCAAACGTCTGTAGCACAAGTTTTGAGACACTTAATTTCAGCCTCCACTGACTCTGTGGATTCAATCCCGTCGTCTGACCTCGCCTTGGGTCACAGACCAAAGTGGCATTCAAGCTGCAAGTGGGGATGACGGCGGGCTAGACGTTGCAGCTTGAGGGAACACAGGCACAGGTGCCTGTTGGAGCTGGAATTGACTGAGATAGCTCATAATCACCAGGCAAGCACTGTGCAATGAACACTGAACAGAGAAACTCCGAGTCAGCCCGAATGTGATGCATTGACATGTGACTGAAAATCCATTGGCATACAATTGGCATATGCATACATTGGTAAAATCTGCCTACCCGTACTCCTAACTTGTGCTGAAGGAAAAAAAAAATCTAAAAATACGATGTTGTGAATGATACTTGGTGCGAAATCAGCTGGGCCAGGATACAGGATTGACATACTCTAAGATAGCATGAAGTCTGGGGTGATTATCAGTGACAGTGTGTTGCGTGATTATTTTTTTATACACGTCCTTTGATACATACTTAGGGTGTGCTACACTGTCTCCCATTTCACAGATCTCTGATGGTTTTTGGACTGCAAGAGTCATCCCAGTGGTGGATGAGAGGAATTTTTTCATGGCAGTATCAAGGGACGCCCCTGGTGCGTTCAACAGTGTATGGGCAGTTTGCAAGTGCTCAGCGGTTGTCTGGGAGGAAGCCAGTGCCTCCCTCCAGAGGAATGACTGCGTAATACGAAAGGTGTTCTTCGCACTTGGGAAGTCCAGATGCGGTGGCTAGCTTCGCTTGCGCGAGATCAAGTAAGTGGCGGAGTAAAATGTGATCCAAGAGTTTGGTATCCTAACCAATGGTTCAAGCATCATTATTGCATTAAATATTTGATACTTACCGCACTGCTGACCTACCCAGCAGTTTCAATGTGCTCGTCTTCAATCTCCTGGATCCTCATTAGCATGGATGCCTTCTCCTTCGCACTAGCTTCCCTCTCCTCCACCTGGATCTTCTTCTCCTCGAGAAGCGATCCCTCCAGGTCCTTAATCTGCGAGTTGTTCTGTTGTTGGGTATCCTCCAGGTCCTTAATCCGCAGTCTGTCCTCTTGTTGCCTGTCCTCTAAGAATTTGATTCGTGATTGGTCAAGGCTGCGCTCTTGCTTGAGGATGCTGGTTTGATGCTGAGTATACTTCAACTGTCACTCCACATCCTTGGTGTATTGCTGGAATTTTTTTTTCGCATCCTCATCCCTCCGCAGCTGATCGCATTGAAACTTCTCCAGTGTTGTGTGAAAGTCAGCCTGTTGCTCTTCCCTCATTTGGTCCTTAAGTTTGAGGGCGTTATTCATTGATAGCACCAGGTCAATCAACTCTTGATTCTTTGAATGGGCGGGACTTGCCAAGGATTGGGTCATGGTTGCTGCGAGCGAGGGAGAATTAGAGAGTTGTAGCTGCCGGGAGGGAATGATAGCGAGAATATGGTCCGTCGAATCACACACACTCTCGAGGGTGGTCAAGTTATCTTGAAGCATGGAGGTACCATGTACATCTGGAGGCAGCATGAATGAATATTCATGCTAACAGCAACATGCTTACTTGTGGTGAGGAGGACAGAATCTGGATCAGGATGAATGTCAGGAGCTTGTATGTAACCATTCTCTGTCAAACTTGAGTGCTGCATGGCGCTGGAGACAGGCTCTCAGCTGGCCGACATTAGTTATTGAATCTCCAATCCGATAAGAGGCAGCGGTAGCCTTTTCAACATAGAATGCATGGACGTCGATATCGGTAGTCATGTTGCAATGGAATTGATGTTGGTTTGTGAGTCTGTCGTGGTTTGTGGCGAAGTTCACTGGTTTCAGCCCAACTGATATCATCTGTTTCCACTGGCTATGCTATAAATAGGTTCTATCAGTTTTATCGGTTGTATTGTGCGTTTCAATGAATCATATTTTCGTTAGACTGAGGCTACATGTAACAGGTGTATTGTAAAAGTGTGTACTGTAGACCTAAGGTCCCGCATGCAAATGAGTGTTTGCAGGGGAGGGAGGTGGTTACATCAAGGGGCCTGAGGGGAATACATACGGCAATGGGTACATTGGGTAATGGTAGGTGCCTGCATATGCTGGCATCGGAGGAGGATGGGAAGCGGTTAGATGTACTGGCGTCGGGGGGATAGAAAATGACGGACATGCAAGTGGATGGAGCGCTGGTTGTGGTGCTGAGGATGAATGCATAGGTGGTTGAGAGGAGGGGCCCACAGCTGCTTGCTGCACCTTCTTACTCTTCCCACATTGCTTGGGCTTATGGGTAGCGCATTCATGTTCAAATACTGGGGGGGGGGGCACTACCAGCACATTCAGCTGGGTCTGTGGTTCCAGCCTTCTTTGCTCTGACAGCCATTGCCACTTTTAACTGTACTTCCTGTCAGTTTGGCGAATAAGGGAGGCTCATTGCTATGCGAAGGGGGTGGGGGATGACCTAGGATATGAGGGCGTAATTGTGCAGTGAATGGGCATTTAAAACAAAACGGCTGGTGTTTTCGTGCATAAGAGATGTCTTGGTCTTCGTCATCTCGGTGTCATGCATGGTATGCAACTCATACCATGACAGATACACAAGAGGTGTGATAAGGAAGGTATAATAGACCCTACTGTATCCTATCACCAAGTTACCCCATCATTTTCCCCTTAGTTATTAGCTAGTATTTTCACTTTCAATCATCACTTCCATTTTTCCATGTATTTCTATTTTGTTCCATGACATTCCATCTCTTTCTATTTTCCTCAGGCATATTCAGCCAACAGACTTTCTTTTCAGCCACCAAGCATGTTTGTAAGCATGTCATGTGATTGGTAGATATCATGATTTGTAAAGATTGAGTTTGACTCATCATGTTTTGTCATGTTTTGTCATGCTTTGTAAGATTTCTAACTGTATTTATAAGCTACTTAGTAAGAAGGCTGACTCAGCACACCAAATGGCATTGTTAGTAAGCACATCCTTACCAATCCATGTGATGACTCATGCCATGATTCGTCATGCTTTGTAAACTACACTGTATTTATAATGTAAATTAGTAAACAAGCTGACTCAACACACCAAATGGCATTATTTGTAAGCACATTCTTACCAATCCATGTGATGATTCATGCTTTGTAATCAGGGCCTCCAAAAGGTATATAAGGAGCCCAATTTTGCCATGCAATAAATCGAGCACTTCTCACCTTCACTCATCTCAACAGTGTGAGATTAAGTAAGAACCTAAGTACAGGCAATTCATTAGCCTCAAAGTAAGACTAAGAAACATTTATTCAATTATATACTACAGGGGTTGATTATATAATCTATCAGCTAATCTAACTAAGTTTAACCCATACTATTTTCCTCTGTCTTTTACAGGAAGGGAGACACGATTCACGCTACACATTTCACGCTACACGCTACACGAGCACGCTAACTCTCAGACACAAATCATACCATAGACTCAGTATACAGAATCAAATTGTTTTAAACTAACCAAGGAACAAGGAAAGAAGGTATATTGAAATAAATTCTCCCAAGAACTCACACGTTATCTACCACGAAAACTAGAAAAGTCGTAGACCGTGTACTTAAGGACTGGCAATAAGTCTTATCCTATATAGTTGTGTTGTCACTATATAAGCGGTGTACATAAGACCCTTAAGTAAGAGGACATCGGTGCATTCTTGTTGTACATTGACAGATACAAACTCGCCGCAGCTTGATGACGCACAGTCATGCTGTACATTTACAGCAGATAAGATGTTCTGAAGTCTAAATTAGCTGTTTGCGAAGAATGAAGAATGGGCCACTCTTACCGAGGGCAATAGCAAGTGGTCTTCATCAGCAAGTTGCAACTGAGGTAATTGCAGCTGGGGGTGGATATCAGGTAGAAAATGAAGAGGCTGGACAACAATGTGACTTGCAAGATGAGGGCTAGATTCTGAAACAATAATCTCGACGATCTTTCCGATAGACATCTGAAATTGCATAATATAACAGCGGCATGGCAAAAGTAAAATCCTCACCTCAGTAGGCAGCTGTCCATTGCCACGCAAAATGGCATATTTTTCGATGGTGACCTTGTCCCCATTCACAGCAATGACCGAAGATGCTTGAAATATGGTGTTGTTTGACTTCATGGCTGACTGGAGCATGCTTGAGTGTGTTGACGTCCATGGCACAGGTGAGGTCTTTGATGAAGTTGGAACTGTTGCCATGCCTCAAAAATTACATACATGAGAATTAAGAACAGACATGTTGCAACGAACTCACCTGGATGATTCTCGTGCACTGTGGGAACACCCAAGAGGTGCCACTGCTCTGGGTGATTGGTGATATAGTTGAGGACACCTGGAGCAGTGTGCACCCACTGCCTGCTTTTTGTCTCCATCCAAAAACCCCCAGTAGCGATATGCTTAAGAATATCATTATATGCAAACACATTGCATGAGTCGCGACTCGGAGCTTGATGGTTGCTATGAACACAGCTGAGTTGGAAGACATGGTTGAAGGACTCGAAGTGTTCAGTCGAGAACAAGATAGGTGGCCCAAACCTTCGGATATAGGCCAGAATATGGAGTAAAAAATGAAATTTCAATTTGGTGAGGATAATGCTAGGCGCACACTGAACCAAGATATTGAGGAAATTGTCAATAGTGCACATGAGACAAGCCTGGTATTGTAGACTTGAAATTAGTTTGTATTCATGGATCAGGGTTGGGAAAGGTAGCATACCAGATATTCCTTGACATCATCAATTCTCGTGTGCCACAGCAAGACCACCAGCTGTCCAATGACGGTCCATCCATTCAGGACAGTAGATGGAACAAGATCATATATAAGAAAAGGCATGAGCTGAGCAAGACTCTTGAAGTGTTTGCCGATCAGGCTACCACTGTACCAACAGATATTCTCTGCACAAGAGTGGGTGAATTAAGGCCATCTTTGTTGATGTTGTCCAATCTGGTTTGAAATATCTTGATGAGGTGTGCTTTGTCGAGGATCCAGATAGTCTGACCCCAAAAGTACTTCACAATGCCAAGGAGAATGATATGGAGAATCTCTGTTGGCATGTCTTGATGGACATTGAGCCCTGTCATGCTAAGCAAAGGGTTAATATGATCTTCCACAGAGAGACTGCCCAGCATTTCCTCGAACTCCCTCTCCAATCTCTGTCTGACTTCTTGTTCGTTGATTGCCGGTTTCCCAGGTTCTCGTTTTCACAGATACTTCCTGAGTTCCAGGAGGTGGTTCACAATTGATGCAGAGATAGTGTTGTGGGTGCCAGTCGACGAGACAGCATTCTGGACTTTTGTAGTTCCACCAGACAACTTCAAAAGCTCAATCTGCTCGAGAATCTGCTGAATTGTTTCTTCTGGTCGACGAAGCTCTCCAATCTGATGTGGCGCTTCAGAAAATTGATCACCTGCAAATACAAAGGCTTACTTTGAATAGTTTAAGATACCCTTCATCAGACTGTTTCATAGATGTCATCTCTCCTACTTTGCATGTGCGACAGAAGTAATTGCAGTGCAAACTGCCGTGGCTACACTCTTCCACCTGCATAGGGTTATCTCCTGCTTCAAATAGGCCATAAGGGATGAGCATAACCTCATCTCTGTATTTGCAGTCGTACGCAACAATGCCCTTGTCCGTGGCAGCCCTGATGGACACATCAACATGACAAATCGACTCAAGAAATTGAAAGAGACAAACCCGATTGACTCTTTGATGGCTTTGATGATCTCCATGGGTGAAGCATGCGGTTAGGATAACACAAAACGAACACAGAATTCCTTTTCAAGCATCTCACATGGCATGGAGGCATTAGACATGTACACCGCATGGTGTTTGTTCCACTGCTTCGATACATTCCCAGAGACATTGTCCATGAAGATTATGAGGGGAATAGTCAGGATGAGTTGACCGTTTGACTTTTCGCACAGGGGGTTAGGCATTTCTGCAGCAAAGGACCGTGATGTCACTAGAAACCTATGAGTAGTCACCTAAACAAAAGTAGAAGTTACTTACATGTAAACCCGCACAAATGCATGTCGGTCTGCAAGTCTATGTAGGTCCGCTGAAACGATGAAACTTCCAATATGATGCACTCAGGATCTACTGCAAAACCTGCCTGGAAAGGGGTAAGATGTTGCAATTTAGACTTGGATGGTGATTGTACCTCCGTCTGTACAACTGGATGTCCCAATGCAAGGACCTGCAGTGATGGTCACTCAGCATTGCAACTAGAGATTTTGCCTTGAAAGAAACGTGTAGGGATAAAAATCCAGTTGTCAACTGAAGCAGCTCATTCCAGAAGTAGATATTGTTGTTGATGCGAACGGATGGGATGAGTAGTTCTTCGGGAAGCTCATGGAGCATCTTCGATCCATGGTGCACTTGTGACATGTTCCCTCTCCCATCTTCAGGATAGTCATGCACGCAGAAGTGAGTGAGAGGATTGGAATAGTCCTGGTGAGGGAGATCAATCAGTGTCTACACCAAAGCAGATGGACATACCTTAGCAATTGCAGAGCCGATTGAGTTTATATAGAAGATGTTACCAGAAGATGCTGTAACCTTGCAAGTTGGATTTCTGATGCAGCTATGAACATGATCTTGAGCTTTGCAAAGCGCATACAAGGTAGGCACATTTTGAGCACCCATTTCACACGCCCAACTAAGTACAGCTTTTTTCTGTGCCTCTGAAAATCGCAGGCGTGTCAAACCAAAGAGGAGGTCTGTGATAAAGGTCTGGCAGGGTTCCATAAATTCATTGATAGATCAAAATGAAATGAAACATACCACTTTCGAAGGCCACGGATATGTGGAATCATCCATGCACAGTTGATTGTTGATGTGATCCTCTGCAGCACAATGAGTCATTTCTTGCATGATATATGCAGTATCTACAGTGGCTCAAAAAAGTGTCTCAATGTTTGTGGATTTCCATGTAATTGCTGTATTATGAGTCAGGGCGTGGGAATATGACTAGGCCATAGGGAAGTGTGGGAAAGCTCTGCTTCCTAGCTTTATGTTTGGTCCCTATAGCATGGGAACATTATGTTATTGAGTGAAGATGTGGTCATTTTAATATGGTGACTCATTGAGACACTTTTTTGACTTTCAGTTTAACCAACACAATCTCTATAATTCTAGTACTTGGTGTTTCCTCCTGTTGTTCTAATTGCTTCTATCACTCTTCTATTCACACTATCTATCAATTTCAGGCATTCCTCATCAAAAATCTTGCCCCACTCTGCTGCAACTCTCTCCTACAGCTGAAATAACCCCTATGGAGGATCTCAATAGACTGTAAGTGATAGCTTAAGTAATTCCCAGGGCTGTTCAATAGGGTTGAGGTCTGAGGACTGGGCTGGACATTATAGAATACTGATAAAATAGTTTTCAAACCATTTTATGATCAACTTGAAGTATGCTTAGGGTCATTGTCTTATTAGAGGGAAGTGTCTTCATTATTAATTCTTGATTCCTGCATGCTCCTGAGCAGACACTCCTCCAAAATTGAAATGTGCTGCTCTGAATTCATTCTCTCCTCCACCTCACAGAGAATTCCTACTCTATTCCACCTCATACAAACCTATACCATCAAGTATCCTACTTCATACTTTAGTGTTTTCTTGACTTTGCTTTTTTCTAGTAGTTCTTCTGCCTTTTATCATACATATTCCTGGCCATCTGACCCCATCCTATTGATTTTGTCTCATATGACCAGTTAACCCTATTCCAGTGCTCAACAATCCAATACTGAGGCTTTACAGCAAAGGCTAGTTTCCTCCCTCTATAGGCTGAAGACAGGAGAGGTTTTTTCTGCTTGATTACAGCTTTAAGGTTGGCTACCTTAGGAGTATTCCTGACTATTTGAGTAAAGAGAGCAGTGTAGATGATGTAATTAATGAATTTGGTGCCTTGAGTAGCATTGGCAGCCTGCCCAATTAGAATATGATAAACAAGAGATTTTTTGTTATGGGGTGTGAGCTTGAAAGGACAATCTAGTTTGATATTTGTCTTATCTGGAATGACTTTTTTAATGACCATAATGAGAATAACCCTGCTCAGACCAGTTTTAGTAGCAATCTGCCTGGTATACAGATTAGAAGAGCTGAAGATAATAATAGGGGCTATTTCAGCTGTAGGGGAGAGTTGCAGCAGAGTGGGGCAAGATTTTTGATGAGGAATGCCTGAAATTGATAGATAGTGTGAATAGAAGAGTGATAGAAGCAATTAGAACAACAGGAGGAAACACCAAGTACTAGAATTATAGAGATTGTGTTGGTTAAACTGAAAGTCAAAAAAGTGTCTCAATGAGTCACCATATTAAAATGACCACATCTTCACTCAATAACATAATGTTCCCATGCTATAGGGACCAAACATAAAGCTAGGAAGCAGAGCTTTCCCACACTTCCCTATGGCCTAGTCATATTCCCACGCCCTGACTCATAATACAGCAATTACATGGAAATCCACAAACATTGAGACACTTTTTTGAGCCACTGTACATACCTTCGTCTTCCAAGGACAGCCCAAATTCATTATCATCTGGAGGAGGGTCCAGCATGTCATTTTTGTCGAGTCCAAATTCATCTGCGAGCAGCTGAAGAGAGCATGTAAAGAGTGTATCTCCCCGGTTTCGAGCAGCAATAAGTTCACTGTAAAGGTCAGGTTCCTCAATCGCGAACATTCATGTTGATGTATCCCACAGTTGCAGTAATTGTTTGTGGTCATGATTGTTGTCATCATCCTCTGTGCTCATCACTGAAGGGGGGGAAGGTGTTGTTGGTCTCTCTGGGTCTTCCAGTGGTGGTATATCATAGGCCAGACGGGAATGAGCAGCGGGAGTGAGGTGAGGTGACAGTGACTGGGCAGGCAGTGGACAATTTTTCTTCTCCTGAGTGCACAAACTGAGAATAAAGCTGTCTTTATGAAGTTTTGTAGTGCAGTGGTCAGCAACATGGCAGGCCTTCATAGCTCACAGTTTCCCATTGTGCTGCGGGCAGACCTTGCATATCGCACGTCCACTGAGTTTCTGCAATGAAAATACTGAAGAATATCATTGTAAGTCTGTTACTGGCATAAAAAGAATTCATACCTTGGGGATCAAGGGGAATTGACCGCTGACAACCTATCCTGGCCATGGTATGTTTCAGAGCGCTCAAAGTAAAGGTCAGAGTTAAAAAATCAGGCGACACGCTGTAAACATGTTTGATTGATCACAATTCACAGGGGACCTTCAGAACTTATGAAGCTTCAGAAGCTTCAAGCCTCAATGCCACGGTTTCAACAACTGTCATCCATGGGAATATTGCCTTGTCTTTGATCAACACAACTTTGAAGAATATTGGCAGTCAATAGAATAACTCTTACCGCACGGACGCATGTCTGTTGTCACCAGCATCATCCACACCTCACCTCTCCCAGCCAATGAAGGTGTCAGCTTCACGCCCATTTCTCTCTCCATATCTTTCCAAGGAAGTACAGCGCAGTCAGCACTGCTGAATTTTGGTACCATTGTAAGTACTCTTTATTTGGATTCCTTGACACCCTTCACCTTGTCTACTATTAGCCACTACAGGTCACAATTCAACTACCATGAGAATTTGGAGGGCAGGTGGTGCCTGTAATTCGCCATATTTCCTGGACAGAATTGGTTGAGTCGCAGTCTGTCTCACAGCGCATGGTGAGTCTCAAAGGGTGCACACCACCAACACGCATTGAACCTTACATTGTAGATACCCTTCTTGCCACTTCCGCCATCTTTCAATCCCTTGTGTGAGGCCAACTGGTCTGTGCTCGCCAGACAGGTGGAAAGTTGGCTGGTTGACACCATTCGAGATGTTAGAGCGCCTGAGTGGGCCTGGGGCTGCGATGCATTCTGGATGGCATTCATTGCCGCCAATCCAGACTTTCCTTGGGGGTCCTGGCCTAACTGTAACCCTAAGATCAGTTTGGAAGGGAAATTCATTGAGTCTTGGACAGTGGACAATCTGACTATACCGGCTGATAGCCCTCTCAGCCAACACATCCTAGATAAGATTCGCACAAGTATATGGGATGATTTTCAGCTTATTTTTCCTTTCCCCTCGTACTTGTAGCATTCTGTTCTTATATAAATTATACTTGTTGTTTGTAAATTATATCAATCAACATGTATGCTCAAGCCGCCCTCATCACATTGTGAAGCACCTTTTGAGTAAATATGATAATATCTATTGCAAAAGCACAACATGAGAACCAGACCTCAGCGCTCAGCGCTCAGCATTTGACCCCATCATAATGTTAGTATATGATAGTGTGCCGTTCCCAACACCATGCTCGTCAGAGAGGATCCCAATCTCTGCTTGACTGTTGCAACCAATATCCTATTATGGTTTGCTTCATGTCGTCATTACAACATTGACGGAAATCCTTTGGTAAATATATATATATTGATAGTACTGGGGTTCTCACAGATCCCATAAAGGTATGATTACACATGTTAGGTTCAGGTTTATCCTGATTAGCAGTGTAGTTTGCATGACTTTTGAGTGTATAGCTAATGGCTGTTGCAGAACTTACTTCTTGGCCTAAAAAAACCATAGTGTTTTTCGTTTTTCTATTTTGAACAACCCTATGGTTCTGGATTTTTTTTAAAAAAAATTGAGAATTTCGAGTGCCATTAGAAAAGTACATGTTATGACCTAGGAATTGGATTGTTTGTGTGTGACAAGTCAGGGGGTAACAGTATGAAAATGCACTCCACTTGTCAAACTACCATGACCACACTGCAAATTGCACCATGCCAAAACATGCACTGGGTTGCACCAAGAACCTTGGAGGATATGCTGACAGGAATGCAAAGAAAGCTAGACTCAGTGCACAAAAAGAAGAGAAGGAACATATGCAGGCAAGCCTCATAGATGCACTTCTTTTATTTCTATTTGACATCCTTCTAGCCCAACAGAAACACTAGCACAGGCATGCCTGGGATCCCATTCTCAAACCCATCCTTCAGCCCTCCACTGCATGACTCGTTGGACACCTCACCTTGTGATTATCCCATAGACATGGCTGTTCCTCCATTCTGGCTCTACTAGTGCAGACCTATTCCCTGAATTATTCCTTAAGTTCTCTCTAATTCCATTTTTGCCAAGCTCGGGAAGGCTGGACTCTAACATAGCATCACTTTTAATTTTAACATTAATCACAATATAATCTAGCCTATCCATTTCACATAGGGATCCGCATGGGTTTGGGTAACCCATATGGGTACCCTTGGGGTATGGGTGGGGGTCTTGCACTGGCCTACCCCTACCTGCACCTGTACCCTCACCTCAGGTTGACACAAAAACATATCTGTAGATTACTAAAACTCTGCTACTGTACAGATGTCAAACTTTAATTGATACATGGGCACCTATGAAATGAGAAAATCTAATCTACTACCCCACAACTATTCCACTAGCCACCATGCAGCTCAACTTGTTCTTCAAAACTTTGAAATGTGTCACGAAACTGACTGACAAAGCTAAGGCAGCCCTGGAAGATAAGCTTGATGGTTCCTTCTCCAAGAAAAGGAAGACCAATATGACCAATATGAGTGGAGCAAGCATGGCACCTGACAATGCTAAAAAAGCCAAGACTACCCAACCAAGTGGATCCACCACAAACATAACACCTCCGAGTCCACCAATGGCAGCCCATCAAGCAGTGGTCCTTACTGAGGAGGAAGAGGAGGCGATATATGAGAATGCCATTGTAATTGATTCAGACGAGATCAAGGAGCCGAGATCATTGAGTCCTGAAAGTTCTGAAGTAGAGAGTGCCAAAGATGAGCCAAGTATGAGAACAATTCAACACTGCAAACATTTTGTTAGAAAAGTATAGAACAATTAATGAAAGAATGACTCTCACCAGTGTATGTGTTCTTTGATCCAATGCCCTGCATTGTTGAAACTGATGGATGGCACGCACATGAATTCAAGTGTAGTGCACAAGGATGTAAAGCTACCATCCATTGGTTCCTGGATAAAAAAGATGCACAATGTCATGCATGGTATGCAACTCATACCATGACACATACACAAGAGGTGTGATAAGGAAGGTATAATAGACCCTACTGTATCCTATCACCAAGTTACCCCATCATTTTCCCCCTAGTTATTAGCCAGTATTTTCACTTTCAAACTTCACTTCCATTTTTCATGTATTTCTATTTTGTTCTATGACATTCCATCTCTTTCTATTTTTCCTAGGCATATTCAGCCAACAGACTTTCTCTCAAGCCACCAAGCATGTTTGTAAGCATGTCATGTGACTGGGAAATATCATGATTTGTCATGCTTTGTAATATTTCTAACTGTATTTTTAATCTACTTAGTAAGAAGGCTGATTCAGCACACCCAATGGCATTGTTTGTAAGCACATCCTTACCAATCCATGTGATGACTCATGCCATGATTCATCATGCTTTGTAAACTACACTGTATTTATAATGTAAATTAGTAAACAGGCTGACTCAACACACCAAATGGCATTATTTGTAAGCACATTCTTACCAATCCATGTGATGATTCATGCTTTGTAATCAGGGCCTCCAAAAGGTATATAAGGAGCCCAATTTTGCCATGCAATAAATCGAGCACTTCTCACCTTCACTCATCTCAAACAGTGTGAGATTAAGTAAGAACCTAAGTACAGGCAAATCAATAGCCTCAAAGCAAGACTTAGAAACATTTATTCAAGTTATATACTACCTTACAGTGGTTGATTATATAATCTAGCAGCTAATCTAACTAAGTTTAGCCCATACTATTTTCCTCTGTCTTTTACAGGAAGAGAGACACGATTCATGCTACACATTTCACGCTACACAATTCATGAGCACGCTAACTCTCAGACAGAATTCAATTGTTTTAAACTAACCAAGGAACAAGGAAAGAAGGTATATTGAAATAAATCCTCCCAAGAACTCACACATTATCTACCACGAAAACTAGAAAAGTCGTAGACCATGTACTTAAGGACTGGCAATAAGTCTTATCCTGTATAGTTGTGTTGTCACTATACAAGCAGCATACATAAGACCCTTAAGTAAGAGGACAATGCCCTTCCCATTGACACCTGGAACAGTGCAAATATGTTCAGGCGAATGTTTCAGATGCGGTACACATGGGCATATTGGATCAATGTGCCCCCTCCCAGCAGACTGTGCAATTGCCGAAGAATGAAAGTATGTGGCACAGCACCTGTACATGGATCCTCGGCATGTTCAATAGGACCTTGGCTCCGCAAATCAACTTCATTATAGATGAGACCATAGATCAGGGAAAAGAGAATGGGTTATTGGCGTAGAGGACAGCTGAACTGACCCAAGGACACTTAGTACCTCAACTGTCTGGACAGTCAGCCCTCGTGTGCAAGGAAGAGACACACAAGGACAAGCATACCTTCCCTATTGAACATGTTCAGTCTACAAATCATGTTGTTACACAACCATCTGACAAGCAATACGACATTGTTGATTTGTATTTGACAGACAAAGGAGAAACTTGGCAGAACTGCCAACCATTCCAGCAGCACATCAGCATTCATGGGACCACGAGGAGAGGTTGTATGGGTCAAAGTGCTCTTCAACGAGGGTGCAATGGTTAGTGCAATGTGCGCAACAGTATTTGACAAGATAAAACATTGTTTGGGAGACTGGAAGGCATCAACAAAGCAGTTAAGAATGGCCAATGGCATGTTAGTCCCATCAAAAGGGACATGGAAAGGCAAAGTTGTGATAGCGGGAGTCAAAGCACAAGGAGAATTTGAGGTCTTCAACAGTGGTGGAGGATAGAAATTCCTGTTAGGAAAGCCAATGCTGCAAGCATTCAAGGCCATACACAAGTGCGAAATGGATACAGTCCACATAACAGGGAAGGGAACATTGAACAACCAGAACCAGGAAATGCCAGCAGAGACTGAAATGCCCAAAGATAAGACCCAGAAGGAAGGAAGTTTCAAGGAGCACACCATCCCAATATGCATCCTGTCAGATGATGGACAAATATCAGAAGACGCGGTCAAAACAATGTGTGAAGTGATACCAGCAAACTTCCTGGACAATGACACAGAGGTCTTCACAAGGACCGCAGACCCGAGGAACCCTAAAAGGGTAGCATACATAGTAAAGGCAGTACAGATTGGTAATGACCTCAGCCCAGAGGAACGAGAAGAAGTCAAGGAACTCATCTCAAGATACACAGACATCTTTGCATGCTCGCTGTCAGAGGTTATACCAGTTCCAGGAGCGGTACACTGCCTGAACATCCCAGAAGGGACCACATTCAACTTACGAGTCCATCAACGAGCCCTTACACCTCTGCAAATGCAGTTCCTACATGGGAAAATCAATGAGATGCTGGCCGCAGGCATCAGTCGAGAAAGCACACCCAGAGACTGTCAAATGCTGCACCACCACAGTCTTAGCCCAGAAAGCACATGAGCACAGGAGGACTCACCTTAGAAGAATTATAGTATAAGGTCAATGAACAATGCGCTGTCTTACTAGGATGTGAAAGGCAATAAAAAAACACCAAATTTCACTTATCCTCCACGGTCAACGGTTCAGACAAATACCAACGGTTGATAACATGGTTGTTCGTGGGGGTGCAAATATAGATTGCTTTCTCCTTGAGCAAATTTACCAATGACCAAAAAGGGGTGAGATATTCGGAAATCTCAGGAACAATGCCTGTTAACTGGCTTGATGCAGTACTTAGGGTTCTTCAGGGATAATGATGCAACAGTATGCAGATTACGGAAAGTTATGTGAATTACAGTGATACGTGGTGAGTCAGAGTGATATCTCTGGGATACTCCTTATTCTCACAATCAGGGGAGATCAAACTAGGAGTCGGATACAGTTGAATCAATCAAATATGTGGCTTCAGAACCAACCTTTCTGCTGCTCAGGATCTCACAATGAGTAATGATGCAGTCCAGACTAGAATACACCTTCTTGATGTAATCTTAAGTGGCCAAGCTCTTAATATTGTTGACTAAAGTATAAGTCCTATATATCGTCCTCAATCATTAAAGTATGTGGATTTCTCCCCACAGAATTGATTTCCTGTGTTGTAAAGAGAATTGCAGTGAAACTACACTAGACGACTAGTAACTGTGCACTAGCTAGAGTAATTTAATGTGACTTAGAGGTAGCCTCAGGTAGTCAGAACGTCGTGGGAAACAGTGACAAAAGAGTGGAGGGAATAAACTAATATTCACTCAGTATTCACACAGGTATTAAGGGGTGATGTTAAGACCGTACTCAAGTAGTATCGGATCCGAAGGGCTTCGGCCTCAGCTCGTGCGCTGTGCCCCTTTCCCGAGTCTTGCCCCTTATTTCAGAGAGCTAAAGTATCGCGTCTAGTGAGACGGATAAGTATCGTAACAGATAAGTCTTGTATTGCAACGGATAAGTCTTGTATCGCAACGGATAAGTATTGCAACGGATCCGTTAAGACTTCCGGATATTGAACGTATAGAGTAACGGCTAATCCGGATCGGATCTGGACTAGAAACTAACGGGTGAGGACTGTCCGAAGACAGAGGCGGATATGTAGACTATAGGAATCTATCCTAAGTCTCAGAAAAGACAAGAGTAGCGTACTCAAGTCCGGACGGATAACAGAGGGACTTAGAGTCCAGACGGAATGAGTGCAATCTAAGATGATATTCGAACTGATCTACTACAGCGCATATACAAAGGTTTATATACTACGGATAGCTAATGGAATGATCAATAAGCAAAGGTGCGAGGCTATGTACGAAAGTATAAGCAAAGTCTAAGTGGAGCGTATTGGTAAGTCGGATGGATCACAAATCATGAACTGGGAATGAAGTACAAGTAAAAGCGGATTCGTAAGTGTAGCGGATCAGTAAGCATAGCGGATCAGTAAGCAAAGCGGAAGTAAAGGATAACCGGTATACCGGTGTACAGGAATACCGAAAGGAGATGAACGATAGTTAGAGTTATATGAACAGGAAATGAAATAAGAATCAAAGCGGATCTGTGGACCGGACGACTGGATATGTTCATCGGATCTGGATCGGATCTGAGATCCGGATCATCGGATCTGTAACCGGATATATGGTATATGACAGGTGAGAAACTTTCTGAGAGATACGCAAACTCTCTAAAAAGGGATCTTATTATTCAAAGAGAGAAACTATGTCCCTTTATATACTACTCTACAGGTGGCTATGCAACTACTAAATATGGAATAGTGACTCATAATGACTTGGTATGAGTCATAACGGAAATGACTCATAATGACTCCATGTGACTCACTATGACTCAGTGTCCAAATGTTCACTTAGAGGTTACCGCTATTTCAGAACTGTCCAGAAACTATGACTAATCATTAAACAAAATGTAGATTACGTAAGAAGATTGACACTGCTCAGATGATGACTGCGCAGATGTTGAGATGTTAAGATGTTAACATGAATATGGCTCATTAGGTGGGAAAATGTACAAGAAAATTCCAAAAGGTGCGGGAATGTGCTTACTAATGAAAGGATAAGGGTTTTTAACACAGTTTGTTGACTGTGCTAAGTATGTAATATGAATGATTAATTCATGTAGCTATGAAAAACCTTCAAGAAAATTATAGTAAATTGTAATAAAGCCATAAGAAATTAGAACTGCCTTTATTGGCAGTATTAGGTTGTATGAGAGTATGTTATGTGTCTGTGATCATGTACGAAACAGGTTTCGTGCGTGTCAGCGCACAGAATGACCAGCCACTGGCGTTTGTACTGCCAGAGTGAGAAGTTCCAGCAGAAACACCGCAGAGCATACCATCAGGCCCGCAAAAGTGGCGCATATGCCAGAACTTCAACAAGGTCAACTGGCACACGGTGATCGCACCTATGCCACAAGGAGATATTAGAGCCAAGCAATAACAGTTAAGTGGATACAAGTACGTCTCGGTATTCGACTTCACATCTGGATTCTATGCTGTAGAGATCCCACAGGAAGCAAGGCCATACACCACCTTCTATGCAGAAGGAATGCTTCTATGTAGAAGGACGGGAGTACTTTTGGTACAAGAGAATGCCAATGGGCCTAACTGGAGTGCCATCAACCTTCTGCGAGATGACAGCTACTCACCTGCATGACCTACTTGCAGACATGACAATGGAGCTCTTCGTTGACATTGGAGGAAGTGCAACCGATTCATTCAGGAAGATGTTCAAAAAGCTAGAAAGAATCTTCCAGTGATGCAGAGAATGTAAATTGTCACTATCGCCAATGAAGTGTCATCTGTTTATGACAGAAACCATGTTCGCAGGGGCAACAGTAGGGCCACAAGGCATCCAACCAGACCTAGAGAAGCTCACAGCCATTGTAAACTGGAAACATGTTAAGACCGTAGCTCAAGGGTAGACGGATCCGAAGGGCTTGGCCTCAGCTCGTGCGCTGTGCCCCTTACCTGAGTACGTGCCCTTAATTTCAGAATGAAGTCCAGATGGAATCCGACGAAGTCCGAAGGACTTCCGGAGGCTGGCTACTCTGGTTGAGTGCTGGAGGACTTCCGGATGAGCGCGGGAAACTTTCGGATGAGTATAGGAAACTCTGGAAGAG